GTATGAACCCATACACTAGGCCTTTAGTATGTATATAATATCTTTGGTTAACCTCTTTCCCCCACTTCCTCCCTCCTTCCCTCTGAAATTCATGAGTCTGTTCCATGTTTCCATGCCTGTACATTGAGCGTCTGCCCCCTGGTGGTCAATGTGTGTCACAGCTACAGAATGGTTGAACAGTGGTATGTATATGTGTGTGTATATATATATATATGGCCTGGTGCACGAAATTCATGCATGGTGGTCCATCAGCCCAGCCTGACCCCTCTCACAAACTGGGGACCCTCAGAGGATGTCCTACTGATGGCTTAAGTCAAAGTCTGGCCTACCTCTGTGGGAGGTGACCAGCTGATCAGGGGAAGGCACCAGCACTATCACCCCGCTGCTGCTAGTTATCCACTGTCAGCCACCTCAGCCACTAAGGTGTTTTCATCACAGACTCCAGTCCCTTCATCATGAGAAAATAACAACTTTCTTTAGGCATTTTCAAGATGTCTCTTTCATAGGATGTGACATTTCTTCTTTTTTTATTTATTTTTTATCCTCACCTGAGGATATGTTTCAATTGATTTTTAGAGAGCAGGTAAGAGAGGGAGAGACAGAAACATCAATGTGAGAGGGAAACTTTGATTGGTTGCCTCCAGCATGAACCCTGACCGGGGCCCTGGCCAGGGAGGAGCCTGTAACCTAGGTACATGCCTAGATCAGAAATCAAACCTGAACCCTATGGTCAGCAGGCTGAAGCTCTATCCACTGAGCCAAACTGGCTAGGGTAGGATATGACATTTCTTAACCTCTCCTGCAGCAGTCTTTTTACCCCTTCAGGAGTGTAGTGGAAAAACCCTAGATTACCTTCTTGGATTCTTATTACCCAAGTTACCAAGAACACTGCAAGTGGTGGCATGCAGGGAGTTTAGCCAATGAGTAATCAGAAAAGGTGTTTATGCTTGAACTGGTTTGGCTCAATGGATAGATCATCAGCCTGCAGACTGAAGGATTCCAGGTTTGATTCCTATTAAGGGCATGTACTTTGGTTGGGGCACAACCCCAGTGGGGAGTATGCAGGAGGCAGCTGATCAATGTTTCTCTCATTGATGTTTCCAACTGTCTATCACTCTCTCCTCTTCTTTCTCTCTTTTTTTAAAATAAATTTTTATTGTTCATATTATTACAAATATTCCTCCCCCCCCCCCACCATTGCTCTCCTCCACCAGGTTCCCACCCCACCCTCTGCCCTTTCCCCACTCCCCATTGTCTTCATCCATAGGTGCACAGTTTATGTTCAGTCTCTTCCCACATCCCCCTCTCCCCTTTTCCCCAAGAATCATCAGTTCACTCCCCTTCCATACCTCTGATTCTATTATATTCAACAGTTAATATTGTTCATCAGATTTTTTTTTTAATTTCCTTGGTTTTTAGATTCACTTGTTGATAGTTTACGTATTTGTTGTTCATAATTTTTATCTTTATTTACTTTCTCTTCTGAAAGAACCCCCTTCAGCAATTCATATAATTCTGGTTTGGTGCTGATGAACTCCTTTAGCTTTTTATTATTATTATTATTATTATTATTATTATTATTATCATTATTATTAGTGAAGCTCTTTATCTGACCTTTGATTCTGAGTGATAGCTTTGCTGGATAGATTATCTTTGGCTGTAGGTTCTTACTATTCATCACCTTGAATATTTCTTGCCATTCCTGTCTGGCCTGCATGGTTTCTGTTGAGAAATCAGCTGACAATCATATAGGTGCTCCTTTATAGACCTTTCAGAGCTTCTTTGCTCTTGCTGCTTTTAATGTTCTCTCTTTGTCTTTTGCTCTTGGAATTTTAATTATGATTTGTCTTGGTGTGGTCCTCTTTGGATTCCTTTTGTTTGGAGTTCTGTGCGCTTCCTGGACTTGTAAGTCTAATTCTTTCACCAGGTGGGAGAAGTTTTCTGTCACTATTTCTTTTAGTATGTTTTCAATATCTTGCTCTCTCTCATCTTCTGGGACCCCCATAATTCTGATGTTGGTTCGCTTGAAGTTGTCCCAGAGGTTTCTTACATTACCTTCAATTTTCTGGATTCTTTTGCCTTCTAGCTTCTGTGGAGGAGTATCTTCTGGCTCTTTATGTTCCAAATCTTTGCCTTGATTCTTGCGATCTTGCATTCTGTTTTTAGGACTCTGTATAATATTTTTTATTTCAGACAATGTATTCTTTATTTCTTGTTGATCCCTTATCATTTCTTGTTGATTCCTTATTAATTCTAGTTGATCTCTTTTCATAACCTCATAGGTCTTGTCAATCTTTTCTAGGAAATTCTTGAAAAACCTTATAAGCCTAGATTTGAACTCTATATCCAGTCACTTTTTGTCCTCCATTTCTTTCGTTTGTGATCTATTCCGTTGTCGCATTTCGCAGCTACAGATGGGGCGGAGTTTCAGGGTGGAGCCTATGGCCTTGGCTTCCGTCAGCCCCACCTATGCGGCTCCTGGGTCTCAGGGTCCTTCAGTACTTGTTGCAAGTGCCTCTGAGAGAAAGGTGCCCTCGATTTTCACCTGCTACCAAACAGTCTAGGCTCTCCCCAAACAGTTCAGTTGGTAGTGGTATTGGAGGTGGCATTCAGAGCAGTTTGGAGCCCCTGTCTCCTTCCCGCCAGGGCAATTCTGCAGCACAGCCAACCGTCCCTTCTCTGCGCACAATGTTCACGCCTCTGGGACTGCCTTTCACCGCTCCCTGGGGTTCCGCCTTACAGCCCAGCTCCCTCTGTTTGAGCCTGGGTCCCCGGGGTCTGGCCTAGACCTGGGGTTCAGAGCAGTCGGAACTGGGGCCCAACACAGTCGGAAGCTTTTATCTCCTTCCCGCTAGGGAATGCCAGCCAGGCACTCAGCCTCCTTCCTCTCCGGCTCCCTCTTCTCCACACGCACTGTGTGTCTCCATACCTTAGGCTTTTACAGCTCCTCCGTGCTTCCTTCTGGTTTTCTCCTTGCTTCTCATTGTAGAATTTCTAGTCAGTCAACTTTCCTGTAGTTCTGGGTAATGTCCATTTTATATTTTAGTTGAATTTTATTGAAATTGTTGTGTGTGGCTGCGGCTAGGTGTTTACCTGGGCAGCCATCTTGGATTCTCTCTCCCCTCTTCTCTTTAAAAAAATCAATAAAAATATTTTTTTAAAAAGGTATTTCCTCTGCAGCTCATGAGCAGAGGACCCCCCTGTGTTAAGTCCACTGGGCTAGGAGCATGTCCCATGGCCGGGGGTGGGGTGGGCACACCCCCAAGGTAGAAGCCCTGTGTTGTGTGCACCAGGCGAGGGCTATGGACCTGAGCTGCTGCTTGGCACTGGTGCACACACAAGTGGCCAAGGGCAGGAACATCTTCCCCCTCAGAGCCTGTGTTTGTAGGCCTGGAATGGCTGGGGGTGTTCTGGGACCCTGGCCGCTCAGGGCCTATGTACGGGTCTAAAGGCTAGGAGTGGCCTGGTTCCCGAAAATGTTCCTAGCACCCAGGCTACTTGCTCGGCACCTGCGTAGGGAAATTAACGCATATTTGTTGGGTTAATTTGCATACTCACTCCTAATTGGCTGGTGGGTGTCACGGAGGTATGGTTAATGTGCATCTTTCTCTTTTATTAGTATAAAAGAGTGGTCCCATTAATAAGTCTAGCTGTCCAACTGGCATCACCCATTGTTATTACAATTTAATATAGACCATATTTCCTGTGCTGTACTGTACATTTCATGACTATTTTATAATGACAGCAGAGGTTTTAAGGATAGTATTTCAAGGTTTAATCCTCAGACTTTCCTATCAGAGAGTGGTATGTTATATCCAAAGAAGGTAAGTCTCTTAGTAATAGTTAATAGATTTCACTATTAAAATTTAACCAGAAATGGTCATTTTACTGCAATGTCAAATTATTTATAATGGGAGATAGCTCATATAATTTATCCACTATCCCCTTCCCAATATTAAACATTAGAGACCCAGTACATAAGGATCACCTCAGCCTGGCCTGCACCCTCTCCAATCCAGGACCCCTTGGGGAATGTCTTACTGCTGGTTAAGACCTGATCCCGGTAGCCAGACAACCCTCTTATAATCCAATCCCGGACTGCTGTCTCCTAACTGCTCACCTGCCTGCCAGCCTGATCACCCCTAATTGCCTCTGCCTGCTGGCCTTATCACCCCTAACTGTCCTCCCCTGCTGGCCTAATCACACCTAACCGCCTCTGTTTCGGCCCCCACCACTGTGGCTTTGTCTGGGAGGACCAGACGACTGGAAGATGTCTGGTCAACCTGATTAATTAGCATGTTACCCTTTTATTAGTATAGATGTACTTGTTCATTGTACACATCATAAGAGGGACATCTGACTTTCTTTCCTTCAGTCTTCACTGAAGCATAGCTCATCATGCTTTGTTCTCTCTGGGTATCAGGCCAATGGTCTGTTAGAGCCTTCTGGTATCAGATTCACAGCTTCTAGTTTCCCAGGACTCTCAGTATTTTTAGCTTTCAATGTGGACTTGGGAATCCTGGTCTATTTCCTCGCTATATACTCCAATATTCTGTGAGGCTATACACAGAACTTGTTACCATTATGACCTTTATTTTGGCACAATGTTGAAAGTGGAATTTTTGAGACTTGTAGTCTTCTTCTATACAGGATGGGCAGTAGTCTAGATATTCTTGGATATGTTTTTCATCTATATAAAATTTCTATTACCTACTGCAAATGAAACAGAGGGTTAGGGGAATGAGGTACTGTGTAACTTTGGAATCTAGGCAGCATCAAAACCAATTCCAACATTCTTAGATCCATGACCAATGTATATCCCACACCTCCCCGCACCAATGTATACCCAGCATCCAGGGTGATGCCTAGCATATAGCAGGTGTCCGATGAATTAGCTTCACAAGAAAAATAGGTTTTTCCTGTTCATATAAATATTACACGTTCACTGGAAAGAAAAACAAACAAACAAACAAACAAACAAAAAAGAAAGTGCAGAAAGGTAAACAATAAACACTTGATACTCCACCAACTCTGAAAAAGCCATCATTAATTTTGGAGACCACTCCTTCATTCATGGCTTTCAAAAGCTCACACAAATACATAATTTTACATAGAATTTTGTTCCACACATGCTGCACTTTCATTTCTCTTTTTACTGTCTTTTCCCTTACTCATCACCTATTTCTCCTCTTCTCTGCCTCCCTTCAAGTTAACCAATGTTAACTGTCTGGTGTAGATTCTTCCATACCTGCTTCCATCTAATCTCACACAAATAGAAATGGGTGTAATTATTTAACAAAAATAAAATATACATATACATATCTGTTACTTACTAAAGATTATGGAAATACATTGGAATCAATTATTGTAGATATAACTCATTTAAAAATTACTCTCATGCTATTCCACACATCAGGATATATCACAATTCATCCAACCATTCTCCTATTTTGTCTTTATGTGTATTTTTATGCATTAATGCTGTTATTTCTATGGGACAGACTTCTGGGTCAAAGCTTTTTATTTTTAACTTTTTGGTAAGAGTACATGGTTTCCCGAACACCACTCACTAAAGATCTTTTAATTTTGCCAACTCCATGAAGTTAAAGTGATATCTGAGAGGGTGTTGTAATTTGCATTTCCCTGAACTACTTAAGTTCATAATATTTTCATAGGTTAATGGCCATTTTCAGTTTATCTTCTATCAATAGCCTGCCAGCCAAGAAGGGTTAAAGACTTCAATGTAAAAAATAAAGTTATCAGAATCTTAGAAACAAATTTAGGATACTATGTATAACCTAGGAATTAAGGAGACCCTTTAACTAAAATAGTACATCAAGAAAAAAAGGAAAAATAAAAAATATATATTTTACTATAAAAATAAAAATATGGTGACTTCTATTATATAAAAATATAAAGACAAATGCTAGATTAAGAAAAACAACTGCAACACAGATGACAAAGGATGAATATCTAAAATATATAAGAGCACTTCCAGATTTATTAGACAGACAAACCAATAGAAAAAACAGGCAGAAGTATATAGGCAATTCATTAAAGATAACCTGTTATATGAATAAAGTATCAAATCTGGATGAAGGTTTTTATTTGTCCATTATTGCACACCATTGTGAATTTTCTTATAACTTACAAGATTTAATGTGATTGTTTTCCTCATTCATATGTTTATAGACTATCTTTTTCTGTTTTTTTTTTTTCTGGCAAATCGATTCCTAAAAGTCTTCCCACATTCATTATATATACAGATTATGACTTTTCTTATAGACAATTGGATAGCTTATTATTCTTTATATTAACTGAGTTTCTCTCTGATGTACTCTTTGATGTACAATAAGGCTTGAGCTACTCTTAAAGGTTTTTCCACAGTCATTACATTTATAGGGGTTTTCTCCAGTATGCATCCTCAGGTGTACAGTAAAGTCTGAGTTTGTTCTGAAGGCTTTTCCACATTCTTCACGTTTATAGGACTTCTCCCCAGTATGAATTCGCTGATGTAGAGTTAGTTGTGAGAGGGTAATACAACCTTTTCCACATTCTTTACATGTATAGGGCTTTTCTCCAGTATGTGTTCTCCAATGTACTGTAAGGTATGAACCTCTCCTGAAGGCTTTTCCACACACATTACATTTTTAGGGTTTCTCTCCACTATGGATTTTCTGATGTTCTGTGACATATATCATCTGGCTAAATGCTTTCCCACAGTCATTACATTTAAATGGTTTCTCTCCGGTATGTGTTCTCTGATGGGTATTAAATCCTGAGTTACTTGTGAAAACCTTCCCACATTCATTACATTTATAGGGTTTTTCTCCAGTATGCCTTCTTTGGTGCACAGTAAGCTGTGATGTATTAGTAAAATGCTGTCTCACATTCATTACATTTATATGGTTTTTCTCCAGTATGGGTCCTTTGATGTACAATAAGGTATGACTTAGTCCTGAAGAATTTTCCACAATCACAGCATTTATAGGGTTTCACTCCAGTATGAATTTTCTGATGCTCCTCAAGATTTACCATTTTAGTGAATGCCCTTTCACAGTCAGTACATTTATATGGTTTCTCTCCTGTATGAACCCTCTGATGTACAGTTAAGTGTGATTTTATTCTGAAAGATTCCCCACATTCATCACATAGATAAGGTTTCTCTTCAGTGTGAATTCGTTGATGTATAATTAGAGATGAGGAACGTATGAAGGTCTTTCCACATTCACTACATTTATAAGGTTTCTCTCCTGTATGCATTCTGTGGTGTACTGTAAGGCATGAATAATTAATGAATGCTTTCCCACATTCATTACATTTATAAGGTTTTTCTCCCGTATGAATTCTCTGATGTTCTGTGAAATTTGCTATATGATTGCTTTCCCACATTCATTACATTCATAGGGTTTTTCCCCAGTATGAGTTCTTATATGTACAATAAGGCTTGAATTACTTCTATAGGCTTTTCCACATTCATTACATCTAAAGGGCTTCTCTCCAGTATGAACTCTCTGATGAACATTAAAAAATGTGGTATTTTTAAAGGATTTCCCACACTCATTACATTTATACGGTTTCTCTTCAGTATGGGTCTTCAGATATACACTAAGATATGACTTATTTCTGAAGGCTTTCCCACAATCATTACATTTGTAGGATTTCTCTCCATTGTGAGTTTCTTGATGTCGTGCAAGTTTTGATTAATCACTAAAAGCCTTTCCACATTCACTACATTTATAGAGCTTCTCTCCAGTTTGAATTCTCTGGTGCTGATTAAGGCGTGCACACTGGTTAAAAGATTTTCCACAGATATTACACTGATAAGGTTTTTCCTTAGTATAAATTCTCTGATGTACCATCAGTGATGAAGAAGCAATAAAGGCCTTTCCACATTTGTTACACTTATAGGGTTTTTATCCAGTGTGAATTTTTTTATGTTGACTAAGATATGAAGGCTGACTAAACATTTTCCCACATTCATTACATTCATAAGATTTTTCTTTAGTGTGAGTTCTCTGATGTTGAATGAGTAATGACCTATAACAAAAGGCCTTTTCACATGTACTACATTTATAGGGTTTTTCTTTATTATTGCTTTCCCCCCCCTAAATTAAGTTCTGAAGTAGACCTTATAGCATTGCTGCCTTCTGTATTCTTGCAATATTTCTTCCCCAAATGGGTATCTGTATTCAAATCTAAATTCTCTGTGAAATTTTCCTCATTATTTTGGCATTTGCTGTGGAACTCTTCTGTGATAACTCCTGGTTATGGACAATAAATAGACCCAAATTTAATGCCTTTTTGGCAAGTGTGAACTTTCTTCTGTGTAACTATTCTTTGGCTCTGACTCTCCTGACTATTTTGCAGTCTCAAAATTCTGTCATTCCATCTCCATAATCCTCCCATTCTGGAGTCCCATAGGACATTCTCTGCAAGTTTCTCTACTATGGTCTCCTGTGACAAATCCTCAAAGATATCCTCTGTTAGTATAGCATTCTTGGTTGCTGGTTTGGTCTCCAACTCTGGGGGAGGGGGAAAAGAAAAATCAAATGAATCCATTTTCTATGTTATCACTGAACTGAATAAGAGGAAAACTTGGGCTGACAATGAATATGTTGTTTTTAACTGCTTGCAAATTCACCTTGTTTTCTAGGAAGAAGGAGTTAAAGTTAAGGGAGGCTGGTTGGGAAATGAACCAAAATAGTAAATTCAAGAAGTTTTTATCTATTCAAAAAAGTAATTTATGGTAATGCTCCTAGAATCTAAGTCTCTCAAATATTTCTCTTCTCATTCTCTTTAGAGTCAACTTCAATTTCTCTTTTAAAAAATCCTCTCCGTAGGAAGCTCTTTTCATTGATTTATAGAGAATTGAAGAGAAGAAGAGGGAAAGGGAGAGGGAGAGACCCACATAGACATTTAAAAGATCAGCAGAGGACAGTATGCCATAAAATTTAAATGTTGTTAGATTAGATAGAGCAATCCCTAGATAAACTTAATTTATTGAAACAAAAAGAAATAGGAAAAGTTCTATAATTACAATAGAATAGAAGCCGTAATTAAAATCCTTGCACAATAAAAACTTCAGGTCAACATGGCTTTCCTGGTGAATTCTATGTACCATAAAATATATAACTTTACCCCTCTCTCAACTCTTTATTGTTGTCACAATAAATTGATGGTCTAGCTTTACATTTTATTTAAAATACAGGTGCTATTAAAATAAAATACCTCCATCTTCCCACTACCAGTTGACCTATATCTTCTCCATCTTTTCTAGTGATACAACAGGGGAGGTGGCCTTCCTTTTATTCCATTCTAGATTCCCCCCCTTTCCATCCTCTTTTATCTTTTTAGATACTTTAGTAGCTTTAGCTCCCATGGGATATCTCCAATATCTACTTTTCATTCACTCTTTTTAAAAAGAATAACTAATATATAAAACAACATAAGTAACACATAAGCAAGTATGGATGGCATCATAATAAAATGAATACTTAAATGAAATAGAACACACTTATTTCTTTCCATCTTCACTACTATCATACTTAATCAATGATCTCTTGCCTAGAATAATTTTAACAATCTCTTATGCTCTTAAATTCAATTTCCATAAACAGGGTTATCATTGATTAAAATCTTTCAATGCTTTCACACTCACTTTGATTAAAATCCATACTTCTTAACATCATCTACAAACCCCTAAATAGACAGTCTCCTGTGTCTCTAATCTTATTCTATCCCAGTCTCCCACACACTTATGCTTCATCATAGCAGCTTCTGTTGGTTTCTAGAACACATTACATTCTTTTCTGTATCAGGTTATTTGCCTGGAAGGTTCCTCTTTTCCTCTTCCTATGGCTGGCTTTTTCTCATCCTTCAAGTTTCCACTTGAATGTTATCCTCAGAAGCCTTCCTTGATCATACTATCTGAAGATGGCAATCACATTTCCCATCCCGGTTATTCTTTCATACCTCCCAGTTTATCTCACAACTAAAAGTTATTACTATCACTATTTAGCTTGTTTTTTGTTCACTTACTTATTATTTCTTAAAAAGTAATCTTCATGAGGGCAGGGACCTGGTCCATCTTACTGCTGTAGACTAGTACTTAACTGTGCATGTATAGTTGACTCCATCTTAAAACTGATCTTTCTGAGCCCTTAACCCCATCCCTTTTCCCCTTGGGAAAACCATGAATGTGTATAGAGACTCCAGGTTAATTGTGAATTACCATTAATCCTTCCTCTACCACTAGTCCTTCATCCTATGAAAGGTGCCCTTAATGTTGAGCTTGTCCTGGGGCTAGAGCCTCCATTATCAAGTCCTTTTGTTGTCCTATATCACCTTGTATTCCTTTTATAGTAATAGGTACATTTCTTAGGAAGTTATAGAACAGGTGGTCTGGGGGGTGAATGGGGCAAGGATCTATGCTGTCCAGCACCCACCTAGGCCTGTGTTTCTGTAAGCTCCCTATTAACACTCTTTAAATTGACAAGCCAGACTTGTCTGCTTTGTTCTTTGGCCTCTCAAATCCTTTGGAATTTGGGGGCTGCTTTGCATACACAGTCTTTTCATGAAACACTAACCCAGTTTGCAGTATACAGATGTTTAATAAACACTGATTATATAAATATTTTGATTCTCAACTGATTTTTTTGTTTGTGTTCTTAATTATTTGAAAATCCAAATCTGAGAGATTGTCCATGATATCCAAGCTTATTTGTATTCTCAATTAAGAACCCCTAATGGCCGAAACCGGTTTGGCTCAGCGGTAGAGCGTCAGTCTGCGGACTGAAAGGTCCCAGGTTCGATTCCGGTCAAAGGCATGTACCTGGGTTGCGGGCACATCCACAATAGGGGGTGTGCAAGAGGCAGCTGGTCGATGTTTCTCTCTCATCGATGTTTCTAGCTCTCTATCTCTCTCCCTTCTTCTCTGTAAAAAAATCAATAAAATATATATTTTTTAAAAAAGAACCCTTAATGTTTCTGCAGGCTTAAAGATGAAGAAAGTAAAATAAAGACCAAGTATATTTAGCTTAAAATAAATCAGTGTTGATTCTCAAGAAAGCACTTTCAGAAAAATCAATAAATGAAAACCATATGAGATAATGATTAAACAAAGAAAAAATTATAAATTTAATTGGAGACAATAGAACTGAAAGGAATATTTTATGTATGTTAGAATAAAGAAGGAATAAAGGAACAGTAATTAAAATCCAAGAATGTATGCATCCCTATGTTCATAGCAGCACAATTTACAATAGCTAAGATCTGGAAACAGCCCAAGTGCCAATTAATAGCCGAGTGGATAAAAAAAGCTATGGTACATTTATACCATAGACAACTATACAGCAGTAAAAAAAGAAGGATCTCTTACCCTTTGAGACAGCATGGGGGGACCTGGAGAGTATTATGCTAAGTGAAATAAGCCAGTCAGAGAAATACAAGTATCACATGATCTCACTCATATGTGGCATCTAATGAACTGATGAACAAAATAGATTCAGAGACACAGAAGTATGAAACAGACTGTGGAATCTCAGAGGGAAGATAGGGGTGGGTGGCTGGGTGGGAAAAGATCAACCAAAGAATTTCTATGCATATATGCATAACCCATGGACCTAGACAATAGTGTGGTGAAGGCCTGGGGCAGAGGGTGGGCTAGAAGGGGTCAATGGGGGGGGGTGTAAAGGGAACATATGTAATAGTTTCAACAATAAAGGTTCAATTAAAAAAATCATTAATCCAAGAAAGCAAAATAGGATAGACAGGAACTAAAAGTAGAGGACTAAGAGCGGGGGAGAGGGGAAAAAGAGAAGGAAATTGAGGGAGAGGAAGAAAGGTATACGGACAGAGGAAGAGAAAAAATCTTTTCCTCTGAGATAGCTTTGAGAAAAGATACTCTCTAAAATATTTCAGATATTCTGACTCATCCATGGAATAAATCCCATCTTCCTGGTTCTTATGAACTCACATGGATAGGGGACTCTTGAAATTTCTCTCACTACCACCCATGGTACTTTTTTATCTTCCAAACGAGATATCATATCTGGTTTGGAAACTGTTCAAAAAGAAAAAAAAGAAAAAAAGAAAAAAAAAAAAGAATAGGATTTGATTGTGTCTATGAGAACTATCGTCAAATTCAGTCTCAGCTCTTAATCTCCTGTGTAGAGTGGCTATTGTAGAAGTTCTAGAGATATGCTGTCCAATAACAATTGTCAATAGTTTCATGTAGCTATTTAAATTTGAATTAGTTAAAATTACATAATTTTTAAAATATATTTTATTGATTTTTTACAGAGAGGAAGAGAGAGGGATAGACAGAAACATCGATGACAGAGAATCATCGATCAGCTGCCTCTTGCACACCCCCCACTGGGGATGTGCCCGCAACCAAGGTACATGCCCTTGACCGGAATTGAACCTGAGACCCTTCAGTCCACAGGCCGATGCTCTATCCACTGAGCCAAACCGATTTCGGCAAATTACATAGAATTTAAAACTTAGTTCTTCAATTAGACTAGCCATATTTGAAGTGCTCAAATGGCTAGTGCTTGGCATACAGAATAGCACTGAAGTGGACCATTCCCACCAGTAGAACGTTCTACTGTATAATGGGTGTCACAGAGAATTACAAAGGTATTTTGAAGTTCAACACTATGGCCCCAAGTTTGTTGGGATAACAGATCATGAGAATAATCTACTAAGAAAGAAAAGGAACAAAAAGATACTTATGAGAGTGACTAGAAAAAACTTTAGTTCTAAATCTGAGGAATTGTCAACAATCTATAAGATTCCAATGAAATATATATTTCTTACTCTATAATGGGTAGACAATTTAGTTAAGAGTAAGAAATAGCCAACTCTCAACAATATGCTCCTAAGATTATGAGATTTTAATGCCCAAATTCAGCAAACCTGGTCAAATGGGTAGATGCATATACTTACCCAGGGAGACAAGATTCCTATAATTCTCTAGCATCACATCCCTGTGCAGGCCCCTCTGTGTAGGGTCCATCAACCTCCACTCTTCCAATGTGAAGTCTATAGCCACATCTTTAAATGTCACTGATTCCTAAAATAAAAACATCATGATCACCCAGAGACTATTTAATAAGACCTATTAGGCAGAATAATTCATACAGAAGTGAGGAAGAACTTCAGAAATCAGAATCACCAAATGACTATAGAAGTTAATAAATTCAACCTTTAAAGAATGTATGAATCTTCCCAGTGACAAGAACTTAAAGCCTTAAGAAGAAGCCCATTCTATTTTTAGTTTTATCTACTAGCAGGATTTATTTTTCAGATTAATTCAAATCTGGCTTTCTATAACTTCAAAAAAAAAATTGGTCCTACTATATTATCTGGAGTCACACAGCATGCTTTCCCCCTTCCCTATAAAGTTTTTATAATATTTGATAACAGCTACTAGTTTTCACCCAAAGCATCCTTTCTTTTTAAAAACTCTGGCTTATGTATAATATAAACGCTTTTTCAGTTCCAATCTATAAAATATGGCTTATCAAAAGATAAATTTTGTCATTCAGATAAGAGAAAAAGATTATAAGCTCTCTCTCTGAAAATAAAAAAAATCACTGAACTTTGTGGAATTTCTTTGGTCAGAATATGAAATATATGTGCAACTGTGTAAAAATAAAAGAATCTACCATAAAAAATTTAATCTTAGCTACTAAAAGAAAATAGAGAGCAGGAAACTGGAATAAAAGCCAGAGTCCACTGAAAATTTCTTGTTTTGAAGATTTACTTTTGAACCATGTGAATATAGTATTATAAAAGAAATACTTAAATTCAAAATAATCTATAAGCCTATTTGCTCTAAAAATAAACAAAATTGACATCTTCAAAACATTTCATACCAAAGCCAAGGATATACATGTAGAACAGGTGGTCTGGGAGGTGCACATGGGACATTTGCAAAATTAGACCACATATTAGGTCACAAGCAAAGTCTCCCCAAATTCAAGAAGACTGAAATCATATCAAGCATCTTCTCAGACCACAATGGCATAATATTAAAAATAAGCTACAATAAAAACAATCTAAAAAATCCAAACACTTGCTATTAAACAATGATTGGGCTACCAAAGAGATCAAAGAAGAAATTAAAAACAACCTGGAAACTAACGACAATAAAAACACAACAATTCAAAAATCTATGAAAGCAGTCCTGAGAGGGAAGTTTATAGCTCTACAGGCCTACCCCCCCCCCCCCCAAAAAAAAAAAAAAACACGAGAAAAAATGGTAGTAAATCATCTAACTTTACAGCTTAAATAATTAGAAAGAGCAACAAGAAAAGCCTACTGTAAGCAGAAGGATGGATATAAAAAAGATTAGAGCAGAAATAAATGACATAGGGACAAAAACAAACAAACAAAAAAACCAAAACCAAAAACAAAAAATCAATGAAAGCAAGAGCTAGTTCTTTGAAAGGATAAACAAGATTGATGAACCTCTAGCAAGGCTAACCAAGAAGCAGAAAGAGTACTCAAATAAACAAAATCAGAAATGAAAGAATAGAAATAACAACAGACCCCAGAGAAATAGAAAGGATTGTTAAAAAATACTATGAACAACTCTATTCCAACAACTGGACAATAGGGAGGAAATGGACACATTCCTAGAAAAATACAACCTTCCAAAACTCAATCAGGAAGAATCTAAACATCTCAATAGGCCAATAACTATGGGAAAAAATTGAAACAGTCATAAAAAAGCTTCCACCAAACAAAAGCTCAGGACCAAACGGCTTCACTGGGGATTTTTACCAAACATTCAAGGAAGAACTAAAACATACCTTCTCAGACTATTCCAAAAAATTCAAGAGGAAGAACACTTCCAAAATCCTTCTATGAAGCCAGAATCAGATAAAGACAGCACAATGAAAGAGAATTACAGGCCAATATCCCTCATGAACATAGATGCCAAAATCCTCAACAAAATTCTAGCAAATTGGATCCAGCAGTACATAAGAAAGATCATACACCATGACCAAGTAGGGTTTATCCCAGGAATGCAAGGATGGTACAATATCTGCAAATCAATAAATGTGATACATCACATAAACAAATTGAGAGATAAAAATCACATAGTCATATCAATTGATGTGGAAAAAGTATTTGACAAAATCCAACACCCTTTCTTGATAAAAATCCTCAACAAGGTGGGAATAGAAGGATTAGACCTCAATGTAATAAAAACCATATATGATTTACCCATAGCCAACATCATACTCAATGGGCAAAAATTAAAACCATTTCCTCTAAGAACAGGAACAAGACAGGGATCCTCACTCTCACCACTCCTGTTCTACATAGTATTGGAAGTACTAGCCACTGCGATTAGACAAGAAGAAGAAATAAAAGGCTTCCAAATTGGAAAAGAAGTAAAGCTGTCCTTATTCACAGATGACATGATACTGTACATAGGAAACCCTAAGGACTCCATAAAAAATTATTAGACTTAGTAAATGAATTCAGCAATGTAGGAGGATACAAAATTAACACTAAGAAATCTATGGCATTTCTATACACCAATAGTGAACTACAGAGAGACTGAAAAAGCAATCTCAGGCTAGGGTGTGGCAAACAGCGATAGCTCCCAGCCAGCCAGCTGTCCCTGCGCCTCCAAGCCTCCAACTGCGTCCCCAGCACAGCAAACAATTATTCTTGCGAGCAGCTCTGCAAACAAGCCACCCTCACTTTCTGATCTGATGGCAAACAGTCCAGCTTCTCCCCATAGGAGTTTGGGTCCCACGCATCTCCCCAGCAAATGGATTTCAGAGAAATTGGGAGCTTGTCCCCCTTGGGATTGAAGAAAGCAACGCCCGCTGCCAGCCCAGATCGCACGCACCTCTGTACCTCTGCTTTTTAGAGTTTGTGCACTGAATATTCTTTTCTCTTTCCTTCTATTTGTAGAACTTTCACTCAGCCAGCTTTCCTGTGGTTCTGGGTGATAGATGTTTTGTCTTTTAGTTGTAGTTTTGAAATTGTTGTGCAAGGCAGCAGTTTAGATATTTACCTATGCTGCCATCTTGGGTTCTTCCCCTTATAATTTTCTTAATAACATTTTCTTTTATCTAGCTTACTTTATTGTAAGAATACAATGTATAATATGTCTAATATATAACGTGTTAATTGACTGTGTTATCAGTAATACTTCTGGTCAACAGTAGTTAAATTTTTTGAGAATCAAAAGTTATATGCAGATGTTTCACAGCAGGGATATTGATGCCCCTAACCCCTGAATTGTTAAAGAGTCAATTGTATACTTAACATTAAAAAAGAATCTGTTATAGATTATATTATATTATATGTGCTTCAAAATAATTAGGGTTATAGACAAAAAATAAGATTTTCCATGAATTGATAATTGTTGAAGATGGCAATAGATTCATCAAGATTCATCAAACTACACTCTCTACTTCTGTATAAGTATAGTGCATATTATTTGTCAGGTCCTGATCTAAAGACTTTTTATGTAATGACTGAATCCTCAATAGGGAAAGTATTATCATCTATAATAACCAAAGTGTAATATGCTAATTAGACCAACGTCCTTTTGGACAACCTTCTAGATGAAGCTGGGGCTGTGAGGGAAGCCTGGGTCCAGGATGCCAGAGGGAAGCTGGTGCTACCAGCCAGGAGAAGGCGGCCTATTCTTGCACAAATTTCATGCATCAGGCCTCTAGTCTACAGATAAGGAAATTGAGGCATGGAGAGGGTAAGTGCGTTGCCCAAGTTCACAAGGAGACAAAGTCTAGGTTCAAACCCAGGCAGTTTGGCTCATGGCTTGTTAATCACTGTACTCAATGATCTAGTAAATTAAGATCCCTTATTAACTGACTAATGACGCAAAGGTCTCAAATTATATAGTATTTGGCTAAGGTGTGCTCTATATCAGAAGAAACACATTATCTCAGGAGTGTTTTCTGTCAGATACATATGCCTATTAAACTATTTAAATCTTTTATTTGCATCTCAAACTTTGCAAAGCATGTTTTATATAATTTTGCTAATGATAAAATATGGCTAATGTGGGAGACTACAGTTCATAAACTCTATTGCTAATCATTTCACACAAATATTACAATAATTTTTTTAAAATTACAATAAATTTACTACCGTTTCCCCCAAAATAAGACAGTGTCTTATAATTTTTTCTCCCAAAGTTGTGCTAGGTCTTATTTTCAGGGGATATCTTTCCATGCACTAGGTCTTATTTTCGAAGGATGTCTTATTTTTGGGGAAACATGGTAGCTGTTTTCTTTTGCAATTAAGAGCTAATCCCCAGGAAAAATCCAAGAAGGCCTTTAGCTCTCACCTCTGGTTTACTTTGAAGTTCTCTACAAGCAAGAAGTAAAGGGTAAGTCAAAGTTGTAAACTGCCTGTTTAAGAGTAGAAGATATGTCAAACACAAACAAAAGCCCTTTGGTAAATGCTGGAAGATTTAGTGGCTTATGATTTTAAGGAAATCTATGTCCAATCATTAACTAATTACTATGTTAATCAGAGATTTCAGTGGCCATACATGATATAGAATACAATCTTTACTGAATTAGTCCAGAAGAGTCACTAAATAAACAAAATAGCAGCAGCAGTAACTACAACAAATTGCAACAACAAATCTTGGTGAGGGGAGAATCTGATTTCCAGAGTGGCCACATTGTATTATTTAAAATACTATATTTTCAACAAAAATTACAAGACACACAAAGAAAAGGAAAGGCATGGACCAAAATAGTAAAAGCAAGATAAACAAACAAACAAACAAACACACCAACAATGGAAACTGTTGAGGAAGGCAAGAAGTTATACTCAATAAATAAAAACTGTTATAAATATATTGAAAAATGTAAAGAAAACCAGGTCTAAAAATTAAAAGAAATGATGATATCTCATTAAATAGAAATTATAGAGTTGATACAATAACACAAATTAAATGAAATATTCACTAGAAAGTTTCAGTGAAAGGAAACAGCAAATTTGAATAGCACAATGGTCTGAATATTTGTGTCTCCCAAATTGATACGGTGAAATCCTATTGCCCAAATGTAATGGTCTTAAGAGATGGTGCCTTTGGGAAGTGATTAAGTCATGAAGGTAAGACTCTCATGAATGAGATTAGGGTCTTACAAAAAAAGAGACTCCAGAGAGACCTCTAGGTCCATCTACCATGTAACGAATGATGAAAAGTCTGTGACTTTAGATGAGAGCCCTCATCTGGCCAAGCTGGCACCCTGATTTTGAACGTCTAGTCTCCAGAACGATGAGAAATAAATTTCATCCCATTTAGGAAACAGGCATGTGTCTTGCCTCTTGTCCTAGTCCCAGAGCCTGTAAAGGGGAGCCCACAGGGCTGGCTGGGGAAGAAGCAGAAAGTTTGTTGTAGAAGGAACAGGGATCATATGAATTTTTAAACATAGAAAGGGAGAAGGAATCACTTGAAAAAAACACTGTGTATTGTATTTTTTTAGGCCTAATGAAAGAACAAAGCATGCATAATGGAATCCAACTCTTGGGAGATATCAAAAAGGAAAGTTTCAAGTCATTTCTTATATAAAATAGCTGTTCAAATTAACACACAACCATTTCAGTCTTTCTAAATAAAAGTGTTTTTTTTTTAAACTTCAAAAATTTCTTTTGTTGTTTATAAGCCATCCAATCTGCTGTGTCTTGCTACGGAAGCCTGAACAGACGAAGATAATCAGGCAGAAAAAATAATTGGTGACCTTGAAGAAAGATCAATTGAGATTATCCTGACTGTGCACCAGAAGTAAAAAAGAATGAAAAAAAAATGAACAGAGATTCTGTAGGTCAACAAGAATACCAATATTGGGAGTCCAAGGAGAGGAAAGAAAGAAATGGGCAGAAAGAAAACTTAAAGACATAATGGCACAAAACTTCCTTAATTTGATGAAAAACATTAACTAACATTCATATACAAGAATCTCAATAAACACCAACTAGGACAAAATCAAAGAGATCCATGCCTAGATATATCACAATCAAATGGTAAAAGACAAAGAGAGAATCTTCAAAGCAGCAAGAGAGAAGGGACTCAATGTACAAGGGATCCTCAATAGACTGTCAGCTAATTTCTCATCAGACATCATTGATGCTATGAGGCAGTGATATAACATCCAGAATGCTGAAAGAAAAAAATATCAACAAAGAATTCTATATGCAGCAAAATATCCTTAAAAATTATAAACAAAAACTGAGAGAATTCACTGCTACCAGATCTGGGGCCTACAATAAATATTAAAGGGTATCCCTCAAGTGAAATGAAAGGATTTGTCAGGTCCTGATCTAAAGACTTTTTATGTAATGACTGAATCCTCAATAGGGAAAGTATTAGATAGTAACACAAACCTATATGAAGAAAAAATACCAGTAAAGATAACTAAAGAAATAAAATATATACATAAAATATATTAAAAAATATATGTATATATTTTAAATATATTTTATTGATTTTTTACAGAGAGGAAGAGAGGGGGATAGAGAGCTAGAAACGTCGATGAGAGAGAAACATTGACCAGCTGCCTCTTGCACACCCCCTACCAGGGATGTGCCCGCAACCAAGATACATGCCCTTGACCGGAATTGAACCAGGACCTTCCAGTCCCCAGGCCGACGCTCTATCCACTGAGCCAAACTGGTCCCGGACCATTTTCAATAATGGATAGAACAACAATGCATAGGATCAGCAAGGAAAGAGATAACTTGAATAAAATACTATGAACAAGCTAGACATCTATACAACACCAAGACACTCAACAACAGCAGAACATATATTTTTTTGCAAGTGTACATGAATATTCTCCAGGAGTGACAATATGGTAGGACACAAAACAAGTTCCAATAAATTTTGTGGAAAGAAGATACTGACCAAGAGGGGCTCCTGGTGGCTAAGAGGGATAAAAGTCACAAAAAAGCTAACATTCTTTCTACACAGGGGCATTTCACACAAACTGCACTTCAGGGAGAAACCTGAACTGAACTGCCTGCCTCTGCACTGAACTACCTGCCTGCCGTGTTCCTGCCGTCTGATCCAGCCCTTATGAATGAGTTTCAGGAATCCAATTTCAACAACAAAAAAATTAGAATGAAGATAAACAAAATAGAGAATAGAAAGACAAAAGAGAAAATCAACAAATGCAAAGTTTGGTTATTTGAAAAGATTACAAAATGACAAACACTTGGATTGACTAAGAAAGAAAAGAAGACTCAAATGACTGAAGTCAGACACGAAAAAGGAGACATTACCTTATAGAAATAATAGGATTATAAAGGACTAATATGAACAACTATCATATTTTTCGGACCATAAGACGCACTTTTCCCCCCCCAGAGTGGGGGGAAAAAGTCCCTGCGTCTTATGGTCCAAATATAGCCTACACATATACTTTAAAAAAAAAGTTTTTTTACTTGCCCGGCTCTGTGTGGTCTCTGTGTGCTTGCCCGGCTCTGAAATGGTTCTAAATGCTGCTGTTTACTTTACAGGGTTGATTACATGTGTTTATGACTGTGATGTTGGGTTTTAATGCACATAAAATATTTTAGGACGCTATTTGTTTCAGAATCTTTTTTTCTTCATTTCCCTTCTCTAAAAACTGGTGCGTCTTATGGTCCGGAGCGTCTTATGGTCCGAAAAATACGGTATATGCCAACAAATTAGATAACGTAGATGAAAAAAATAGACAGATTCCTAGTAAGATGCAAACTACCAAAACTGACTCAAGGCAAAGAAAATCTAAATAGATATATAAATTAACTCCCTATAAATAAAAGTCCAGGTTCAAATGGCTTCACTGGTGAGATCTACCAAACATTTTCAGAAGAATTAACAAAAATCCTTCACTAACTCTTTCAAAAAATAAAAGGAAATATTGATAATTCCCAACTCATTCTATGGTGCCAGTATTACCAAAGTAGAAAAAGGACATTACAGAACACCACAGGCCAATATCTCTTATGAACATACTAGAGGCCTGGTGCATGAAAATTCATGCACTGGAGGACGGGTCCCTCAGCCTCGCCTGCCCCCATTCATAGTCTGGGAGCCCTTAGGGGCAGGAGGCAACCCGATGATCAGAGGAAGGCAACGCCCCATCACACTTCTGCTGTTGCTGCCACTGCCGGCAGCGCAAGCCTTGGCTGGCCCTGGGTACCTGAGCCTTGGGCAGCCCTGGGAGGCTGGGGAGCTGCCATCTGAAGCTTGCCTGCAGTCGGGCTGGCCCTTAAGGGCTGAGAGGACTGGGGGACTCCATAGGTACGCATGCAGAGCTATTGGGCCCGCCTGCTGCCCCAGGGGCTGAGGGGAGTGGGCGCCGCCATCTTCTGGCGGTGGGTGCCACCATCTTTGAGGGTGGGGCAGTCGATTAGCATATTCCCTCTTTATTAGATAGGATACACAGAATTCTCAACAAAGCTCTAGCAAACTGAATCCAGAAACAAATAAGCAATCATAAATACCACAGCCAAATTGGATTTGTCCAGGAATACAAAGTTGATCTACTATCTGAAAATCAATCAAAGTAATACACCATATTAATATCAATAGAATAAAGAACAGAAATCACACAATCATCTTAACAGACTCAGAAAAAGTATTTGACAAAATTGAATAAACCAGAAATAGAAGCAAACTTTGTCAATATGATTAAGACTATCTATGAAAACCCAAATCTAACATCAAACTTTAGTGAACAGTCATATACATTACTCCCGAGACCATAAAAACAAAGATGTCCTCTTTTCTCACTGCAACGTTGTACTGTAAGGGAAATTAGACAAGAAAGAGAAATAAAAGGTATCTAGATTGGAAAGGAACACATTTCTATTTGCAAATGATATCATCTCTATTTAGAGATGACATTTTCTTGCATATGGAAAACCCACACATACACATACACAAAAACCTGTAAGAACTAAAACTAGTTCAGCAAGGATCAGGATACAAGATCAATATACTTAAGTCAATTATTTTTACACACTAGCAATGAGCATTCAATAAAGAAATGTAGAAAAAAAAATCTACTCAAAGTAGCAACTAACACCCAACTTCCACCAAAAAAAAAACAAACAAAAAACCACCCCAGGAATAAATTAACAAAAGATATGCAAGACTTGTATACTGAAAAATACAAAACATCACTAAAAGAACCCTCTCTCCCCACACACAAAATAAGAATACATCCCATATACTATTGGAAAACTTAATATTGTTAAGATAGCAATAGTCCCAAAACTGATGAACAGATTCAACACAATTCCATCTGCTTTTTTTTTGGGGGGGGGGGGCAGAAATAGAAATATTAAAAATTATTAAATAATTGGTTCTACTCAAATTATAATTAAAGCTAACTTCAGTGCTTATAAACAGAATGCAGAAATTAAGGAAGAGCCAGAGAGAATTAATCTTCTGCCAAGGACTCACTCTGTCAGGAGAACAAAAAGAAACCATATAGAAAATTATGGTATTTTCCTAAGGTTCATAATTCAAAGTCTGAACTAACACATAACTTATATTAAAGTCTAAAGAGACATATGTTAAAGAACACTTTAAGAAGCATTGGTCCAGTAATGTTTCAAAAAATTAATGTAAAGACTGAACCTCAGGATGTATTTTCTCATAAAAACAAAAAGGAAAACTCATATTTACACAAACCATATTTGGAATAAAATTTTTTGAAACTTTCAAAGTATAATTTTCAAAAACATCTCTATATAAGCACTGACGATCTGGCTGGTACATGACCTGCACTAGCAATTTAAAAATAAACATTGACCCACACATGCATGATACATATAAAACGCTTGCTGGTGCCAATTGCACACATGTGTTCAATCTGTCATTGTCAATTGTGAATTTGGTTGTTTTTGTTGACATTCAACATGGACCACATCGTGATTTATTCATTGACTGCTCAACCATCCAACCGACCAGCCGGTACACGACACTCACTGGCAATTTAAAAATAAACACTGATTCATGTATGTATGATACATGTAAAGCTCTTGCTGGCGCCAATCACATGTATGTTTTAATTTTAAAATACTACTAGACCATCTGTGGGATTATGACTGAACGCCTCTAAGTCAGAATCCCGCCCAGGCAGAGCCTTCGTTGGTCTCGGATATCTCCCTCGCAGTCCCCGCTGGCGGGCAGTGGCATCCACCAGCCTCACCACGGTGGCGCGGCGTGCTCCGCTGCGTGTCAGAATCTGGGTCCTATGCAGAGAACCCTTCGTCCTGGGAAACGGGATGTGCCACCACGCCCTTCACGCAACACACGTTTGTGGGGAACCTGGCAGTAAACCATTCGTAGACAACCTGCTTCTGGGTCAGGGTTTTGTACGTAGCAGAGCAGCTCCCTCGCTGCGATCTATTGAAAGTCAGGCCTCAACACAAGGGTTTGTAAAAAAAATAAAAAAGAAAGAAAAAAGAAAAAAGAAAAACTAAAAAAAGAAAAAGAAAAAAATAAATAAAATAAAATACTAGTAGAGGGCTGGTGCATGGATTTATGCATTAGTGGGTCTCGCAGCCTGGCCTGCACCCTTTCGCAATCTAAACAAATTAAACTCATCTTAAGGATGAATAGGAACTGATGTTGATGTATTCTTGATATTTTTAATGTATTGGGTCTTGCAATGTGAAGCAAGAATCAGACCATGTGATACAGGATACTTCATTAGCAATTATGATGTGACTATCTGCCAATTATGGCTGCCAGTACTGAGAGAAATGAAACTTGTCAAATTAATGCTACCAGCCCTGGGATTACAATAGCTATCACTTAGGATGGTATTAATTGTGAACATGCAATGGACTGCGAACATTATAAGTTGGGGGCAGTAAAAGAGCATTCTATTTATTTCCCTTACATACCTTTACCAATTCTGGTTCTTCTGCCTGAAGATGATCTTCATCTGGCTGGGAAACTTCAGGACTCTAGCACATGTGTCAAACACAAGGCCCTCGGGCCAAATCCGTCCCGCCAGGCCTTGCAATGTGGCCCGCACCGCGCTGTCATCACTGCACTCCGCTGCGTTTCCATCACAATGACAGTTTATGACTGTTCAGTAAACCATTCGGCCCGCGATTTAGGCTGGATTTTAGATTTTGGCCCCTTCTCTGATTGAGTTCGACACCCCTACAGGGATACAGGATAAGAACACTCAATAATAGGCTGCCTCTAACCTCCTACAGAGCCTCAAAAAGCACCCACAGTCCACTGTGGATGTAGTATATATGGGATGACCTCTTTTACTGTTTTATTTAGGGCTGGCTGATATCAAGGTCCCAAAGTAACATCCAGTCATAATCTCCTTTCACCTTGTTTGAAACTATTAACACACACACACACACACACACACACACACAGACACACAATAGGCTTTTAACAAAGAACCTATCAAGATAAAACTAAACTTACAATAAGAGGCCTTTAGATACTACATAATTCTCCTTTTTCATAAGGGGATGGACTCTATTCCTCAGAAAGCATCCATCTTGCTCAAGAATAATATTCAAAATCTATCAACATCATCTGTTTTCTACAGTTGGATCATTACAGTGTTGGGGAGGGCAGCACGTCTTGGTACTAAGGAAATATTTTCAGGGACCTCTCATAACATTGTTTTCTTCCAAACCTTAGAAACTGTCTCTCTACAAGGGCCTGATTTTATAGATGAAATGAAATTTTACTATACATTCTTGTAGCGCTTATCAATTTTAGATTTTGAGTCATTTAAAAAATATATGAGTAAAGGTATTTACTTAAATTTCATTGAGAAAAACGTTATCTTAACTCTCCCCTCCCAAGTTGGTACAATGATATGAACTTCAACCTCTGATAATGAGGGATGGGTTTGATCAGGCCAATACTACTAGTAGACAGATACTTTGGGTCTACTAATTAAGTCTAATATTTTTGCTTTTATTAATCTTTTCAAGGGTATGTTTTAAGGACTAGTTACATGTTATATATATGACTACGAAGAATAAGAGATCACTACTACAGGTTATTATGGATCATACCATAACAAATTCTATTTGTAGGCAGTACCTTTCTTCTGAATCTGTATATTTCAAAAGTCACTGCTAAAACACAGCTTTTATCACATTAATACCCATCTCAAACACCTGTGCATGCGCATGCGCACGCGCGCACACACACACTTCAATGTCTTCAGAGAAACATTAAAAAATTCAGCTTAAATATCTCATTTCCACTATTTTTCAATTTTCCATCTTGAACCACCAGCTCACCCACTGTTTCTCTGCCTGAATCTTGCCCTAACTCCTTTCTCACTTGAAGTACCTTCACAAATACTTTAATAATTTAAACTCCTATTTATAATTGAATACCAGATTGAATCTATCCCCATGAGCTTTCCATGACCAATTTAGCGTATACTAAATTCCCATTTTTTCCCTTACATAGAACTCATCATCTTTATCATATTGCTAAGCAGCTATTACTTACCAAAATAAATTAGGTAACTATTTCTTTTGTGCCTCATCTCAATGAAATTGTAAGCTGCCTATAGCTATGTACTGTGTCTTAAACTTCTTCTTTTCTCCATGTCATCTATTATGCTTCATCACTTCTTAATGAGTAAAAAAGAGGAAATCACTGAGAGTGGGCACAAGGGGAATGCTCCCTATGAATTAAGAGACTGAGTGTGTGTGTGTGTGTGTGTGTGTGTGTGTGTGTGTACATTTATTTTTCCCCAAAATTTTCTAAGTGAAATTTTCCAATAGAAAAATATCCCATTTGGCTACCCCATAAATCAGTGAAATCTCCTGGAAACAATACACATTTAACATCGTAAGTAAATTCTCAGACTGCCCATCATATCTAAAGATAGCCCTAATATTTTTTAAAAGATCTTGAAATTTGCTTCAGTATGTGTGTTGAATCTTCCTATAGATTGCAGCCTTTACTCACAAATCAAACAACTGGATTCAGTTACCAGGAAAAATGTGGGCAAGGTAGAGAAGTCACAAGACTTCAGGAAAAGACGCCTTCAAACCCAGACAGCAGATCAGAAACAAAGGAAACCCAAACTTACCAGAGATCCAGCTGAAGAAATCACAGCAGCCATGATCTCTGCCTTTTTGTTCCCCTCCTTAGGAGTAGAGTCCTACAGACATGTCTGAGAAAGAGAAATAAGCCATGAAAACCAGTCCTGCCTTGGCAATCTCAGACCTACCTTGTTGGAGTCCTGACATGCAAGTAAGTATGACTTCCATGAAGAACACAGTATTAACCCCCAAGATCAGATTTTTTTTCTCCTGGAGATCTTGAGATTTTTATTACTATTAAATGTAGTCACACATAGGAGGCCAAACATTGTGCAAGAAGCTTTTAAAATACTTCTCATTTGATCTTCACATCAAGCCAATGGGAATTATATGTATAAATGAGAAAACTAAGGATTAGAAAAATTAATTTACTTATCCTAAGCCATCCAGGACTCCAAATCAGTCTAATTCCAACATCCACAATGTTGGAAGCTACCCATTGTCTTCACTTTCAGAAAAGTATAAACAAGGAGCCTAGAATGCTGGTGAACCTTGAGCTCTGGCAAGGGCCAAAGCTATGCACTAATTGTTTAGTTGAGACAATGGTGACTCAAGCAATTTCCTGACCAAATAGTCTCAGAGTAAATATTTACTGACCTTTAAGATAGTCTGACTGTTACCAGAATTGCCTGTCTAAGGGCAATATGTGTATCTAAAATTGAATAGAAGGTTGGCAGGGCCTGAGCACCAGCCAAGTCCTTCCTTAGAGTTGGACTCTCTGCCTGGCCCCCCATGATTTCCAAATTCTTATTTCTTATCTAGTCTTGTCATTTGCCTGTGACCCTTCTCCAGGTCTTGAACCCAAGCCACGCGGGACATGGCATCTCACATCACACCTTTCCCACTAAATCAGCTTGTGATGTGAAAATGGAGACAGAGCAACTACCTGCTACCTCTTTTTCTTTTTTATAATGATTCTTTAAAAAAATATCTTTATTGATTTCAGAGAAGAAGGGAGAGGGAAAGAGAGATAGAAACATCAATGATGAGAGAGATGGGATCATTTCCTGCACCATTGGGATCAAGCCTACAACTCAGGTATGTGCCCTTGACCAGAATTGAACCTGGGACCTTTCAGTCTACAAGCTGATGCTCTATCCCACATGTGTCAAACACAAGGCCCTCGGGCCAAATCCGTCCGGCCAGGCCTTGCAATGTGGCCCGCACCGCGCTGTCATCACTGCACTCCGCTGCGTTTCCATCACAATGACAGTTTATGACTGTTCAGTAAACCATTCGGCCCGCGATTTAGGCTGGATTTTAAATTTTGGCCCCTTCTCTGATTGAGTTTGACACCCCTACAGTCTATCCAGTGAGCCAAACCAGCTAGGGCTACCTGATACCTCTTATTCCTTGAACCTTAGGAATATTTGAACTACGTAAAATAACCTTTGGACTGGGCCACAGCAACAATGTCTTAAAAAACAATTGTTTGTAAATCAACAGGAAAAGCAGACATCCTGACCAGAAGGTCTGAGGATTCTTTCTAAAGACCAAATCAGTAAGCAACCATGCGGAACTAAAGAGGAACTCAGCTTGTTAGCAGCAGTTGCCTGGCCCCTCTGCTAGAGACTGTCTGCTTAACCTGTCAAATCTGCTCCTGCCCTGAATGGACACCTGGCTTCCCTAAGATTCAGTACTGAGCTTTTGCTCAATAAACATAGCAAATTTTAATCTAATCTGAAATGATATGACTATCTTCTGAAAAACAAGAATTATAATAAATAAAGCAAGGCTATTATAAATTCAAAGAACATTAGAGATATAGAGTAGTATATTGAAACATGCACTCAAAAGTTATTTTCAAGCATTCATGCAGCACTTGCTGAAATTAATGTTACTGACCAAGGAAAATATAAATAAAGAAGAAATGGAATACACTACATTTTCTAACCATGATATGGTAGAATTACAAATATAAATGGAAGTTTGAAGGGAGAAGGGAAAACCCCATAACACCTGGAAATTAAAGTAAACCTTCCTAAATAGCTAGTAAGTCAGAGAGAGAACTTTGAGTTAGAAAATAAGAATATTATAGATTTAAAATGCATGGGTTGCTGCCAAAGCTTTTTTTTTTTTTATAATATATTTTATTGATTTTGTACAGAGAGGAAGGGAGAGAGCTAGAAACATCGATGAAGGAGAGTCATCGATCAGCTGCCTCTTGCACACCCCTACTGGGGATATGCCTGCAACCAAGGTACATGCCCTTGACCGGAATCCAACCCGGGTCCCTTCAGTCCCCAAGCCGACACTCTATTCACTGAGCCAAACTGGTCTTGGCCAAAGCTTTAAAGAGAATAAATTTATATCCCTAAATACTTTCAGTAAAAAATTTTAGAATTAATGAAAATATTAAACATTCAACTGAAGAGAAATAATTAACAAGCCATAAAGAAGAAACAATAAAGAAATAAACCAATGAATAAGAAAATAATCAAACAAAAATAGCTGTCAAAGGCAGAAGCTGATTCTCTAAATATTGAAATATAGAAGCCACAGACAAGTCAAAAAGAAAAAAAATACCAATAAGCCAAACAGAAACAAGATAAAATGTCATAAAACAGTATGAGAAAAAAAATCCCAAAGAACAATTTTTGTTAAAAATTTTCTAAAATGGACTCAAACAGCAGAATACTTAAGTCGGCCAACATAGCAGAGACTGCTCATTGCCTTCCAACACCCAGTCTCCCTTTCTACTTGACCGAGGCTTAAAGTCTCAGTGGGCCACAAGGTCACCTGGCTAGAGACATTCCCTGGCCTCCTTGCAGCCAGGTTTGCCATGCCACTATATTTCCAGCAAATGGGATCAGAATAAAAGAGATGCTATGCAATTTCCAGGTCACACCTTTAAAAGGGAGCTGCTTGCCCTCCAGTTCTCTGTCTCCCCTCCCAATGGCCTGAAATACACAGTAGGAGAGTGTTCCAGCTTCCACCATAGGGAGGACAACCCCCTAGAAGTGGCGGAGCAAAAAGATGGATCAAACCTGGTTTCTAGATGAGCTCATGGACCAGAGCTGCCTCCCTGACCCACCCTCATCACTGCCAGCCACCTACCAACTCAGACTTTTACATGAAAAAGGAACTGTCTTTCTTGTCCAAACCACTTGGACAACTCTGTTAAAGGTGCAAAACTAAATTCCTAGCCAACAGAGTGAATGACTATGAAATAAAAAATTAAAAGTATTAGGTAGTAAGCAGGAGGGAGGGAGAGAGAGAGAGAGAGAGAGAGAGAGAGAGAGAGAGAGAGAGAGAGAGAGAGAGAGAGAGAGCGCGCGAGCGAGCAGGGTTTAGATAAAAAAAAAAAAAAAAAGCGAATATCTTAAGAATGTAGAGTTTATTCCATGACACTAGGGGGATTCACTAGATACAATGAAAAGATTTTGGTGGAAGAGAAACAATAAGAAGCTGAGGGAGAAAAACACAGTGTAATGTGGAGGTAAGACTTGAATTAAAGAATCATCTGAGCGAATTCCTATATTGAAGCCTCAGGTTACCTCTATACCAGTGTTTCTCTACCTTTGTTCAGGTCATGATACCTTTGGCAGATCTCATGAAAATTATAACTCTTCTCCCAGAAAATTCCCACATATAATTATAAGGTTCTTGAATCTGAGGACTGAAAAAGCTCACGAGGCATGTTCATTAAAAAGGAAATTATTTGGCCCCATCCCAGATCTAGATCAGGACCTCTACGCTAGGCCTGAGGAACAGGAATTTACATTGTCAACCAGTACGTTGCTAAACACTGTTCTAAAGATAACTTCTGAAACCCAAATTAAAAACCCTTCTTCACAAACTTGAAAATCCAATTGAAATGTTTTACCAAAAGGTTTCTCGAGTCCAGGCACTGCTGGGTCCTGCCTTCGCTCCCTCAGCAGAGACTCTTCATGCTTGGTTTTTGAACCACTCTTCATCTCACAGCCCAGCAGCAGAACCTGTGCCAAGTTTAAACACAATTTAAAAGAATAACTGATTCTAGCTCTCTATCTCTCTTCCTTCCTCTCTGTAAAAAATCAATAAAATATATTAAAAAGAGAGAGAGAGAGAGAGGTACCCAGTAGATAGAGTGACTTTAGATGAATTAATGTCAGTCCATCCATTGTACTTAGGAAGTAGAGAATTTAGGTGCACACATGGGTAAGTTGATACATTTGATCATGGAAATAAGAGCGAGTTCTCTTCAGATTGTTTCTGACTACTTTAAGGAGCTCATAGTCTAGTGGGGGATTTGGATAATAAGCATACAATGTTTACATGTGCTAATATAAAATAAGTTCTATTACAGAGTTATGTGTAATATCTTAGGGGAGTCAAGGCTTTGGCTCAGGAAAGGCTCCATGGGCTAGATGAGGCCTGAGATGAGTCTTAAGGAATGAGTAGTGGTTACACCAATGAAGAAGGAATGGAAAACAATTCAAGGTAGAAAGATTGCCAATAACAAAGGCACAAATGAATCAAACACCATGGTAGGACAGGACCAAGCACAAAAAAGTGTTCAGTAGTTACTGGTGTTAATTAAATCACTGGTGTTTTCAAGGACTTATTTAGTGTGACTAGAGACCAGAGATGAAGCCAGAAAGTACTATGCAGCTGTCAGTTATCCAAGTGTTAAGTTAATCACTATGAAACAGCAGAGTCAAGGGACAAGGTGCTGAAAACTATATTCTGGAAGAGACATTAAAGATCTGGAAAATTTAGGAAACAACCAAGATGGTAAGTTCCTTAGCATCTTAAATGCTTCTCCTATTGATGGACTGTAACACTTTGTCTTAAGAATATTCTGGTTGACTCATAGTTCACAAATTATTTTTGAACTAAGATTGAATTTATCCTTGGGGCCGAGACCGGTTTGGCTCAGTGGTAGAGCGTCAGTCTGCGGACTGAAAGATCCCGGGTTCGATTCCGGTCAAGGGCATGTACCTTGGTTGCGGGCACATCTCCAGTAGGGGGTGTACAAGAGGCAGCTGGTCGATGTTTCTCTCTCATCAACGTTTCTAGCTCTCTTCTCCTCTCTGTAAAAAATCAATAAAATGAAAATAAAATAAAATAATAACTGAATCTGTTATAACAAATATTAACAATGGCTACATATCAACACCAGTAGATCTTAACTTTGGGGGGATCCATTTGAGAATCTGACCTTGTCCACAGAATAATGCACATATTATTTCAGGCAGTTTGAAGCCCGACCCTTTCAAACCTATCCACTGACCCTCAAGTTAAGAAGCCCAGTTTTATATGGTTGGAAAAAAAAAAAAAAAAGGCTAAAAAATAACAAGGGAAAACTATTTTTTCCAAAACACTGCTTATGTGGTTTAAGATATTTTCAATTCTAAGGAACTACAGCAATGGCTTTCTGCATCTTTTAAAAAAGTATATATATATTTTACAGAGAGGAAGAGCGAGGGATAGAGAGCTAGAAACATCAATGAGAAAGAAACATCAATCAGCTGCCTCTTGCACACACACACCCCCCCTCCCCCACTGGAGATGTGGCCGAAATCAAGGTATATGCCCTTGACCGGAATCGAACCTGGGACCTTTCAGTCTGCAGGCTGACCCTCTATCCACTGAGCCAAACCGGTTTTGGCGCTTTCTGCATCTTTAAAACTTTTTAAAGAATGACCTGAATCATTTTTTTTTTAATTTGTAAAGACTAATTTCTCCTTGGCAATATGTCAGTAGATAATGCTAGTCTAATATGTTTAACAACCAAACTACAACAAACGTGTTTTCAATTTTATAATCAGAAAAACAAAGGTATTTAAAATAATATATATATGACTTTGGTACAGGTGTAAAAGTCCAGTAAAATTCCAGAGTAGCTTGCACACCCCCAGCTTCTAATATTGGTTTGGCTACTGTGGAAATGTGATTATAAGCAAGTCACTTAAGCATAACGAATCAGACATTAACAAATGAGACTAACCATATAATGTTTATTCTACTTTTGCCTTTGACATTGTGCAGAAGAAATTAGGCCAACGTTTCCTCAGAGTCATAGTGTCCTAGCTAATTGTTTCTGGTTGTTGTGACTTGTCCCAAGCCGTCTTCCCAAGCTCTGCAGAAGTATCAGACTTAAGAAGCTTCACTTGCTGTGGCTCCTAAGCCAGTGCAGCTATTTAAAATTAATGAGAACTTGAGCGCCATGGACCCGAGAAGCATTTCCCAACTAAAAAAATGCCACTGTCAGGTCAGCGAGAGGGGAGCGATTTAAAGGTGGTTATTTGAAATGCCGTGAAATGAGCACTCAAGGAAAAGGTGGCTGGGTTACCCAGGGCAGGAGATCGTCCACCTGTCAGGTCGCTCAACGGGAAACCCAGCTCCATCCTGCGGGTTCAGAAGCCAGGTCAGAGACTGTCTGTCCCTCCGCAGCCTCGCCCTCAGCCTCACCCTCTTCCCGGACTGCCCTGCTCTGCCCCGGCGGGGACCAGCGCTGACCGCCCAGCCCCGCGCGCCGGGGCCCGATCGCGTCGGGCAGGAGGCCGAGCGGACACTGAGTGGACCTGGCCGCAGGAGGCCCAGCCCCAGCCGCCCCAGGGCGGGCCTGCGGGTACTGGGCTCTGCAGGGGCGGCCACGCCCGCGCGCCCGGCGACAGCGCCCGGAGGTGCGGCCGTTCAGACCCGGCGTCGGGGCGTGAGTACCTAGCGGCCTCACTGCGCACGCGCGAAGGCCCGGCCGCGGAGCAGGGCGGGAGCGGCCCGGCCCGGGCGCCGAGTGGACGCGGCTCCCTGCTCGACAATGCGCCTGCGCGGCGGCGTGGGAACTACAGCGCCCAGAGCCCTCAGCGCCTCACCTTGTTCTCATTTATGAGGGAGTTGGCTGTGTTTATCGTGAATTTGAATGACCTGGAAATTCAATCAAATTGAGTAAGTTTTTGTATTGAAAGGCCACAACTGTGTATGAAGCCCTACACAAGACAATAGCGTCACTAGGAGGAATGACACAATCTTTGCCTCAGAACATTTCTCTGTGACTAAGGAAAGAGCCGCTAGGACCGCAGCCTCCCGTGACGGAGTTAAAGTGTGTGGCCACGCCTCTGCTGGTCTTGCCTTCACATTCTTTTTTTTTTTTTTTTTTTTTTTTTTAAATATATTTTTATTGGTTTTATACAGAGAGGAAGGGAGAGAGATAGAGAGTTAGAAACATCGATGAGAGAGAGTCATCGATCAGCTGCCTCTTGCACACCCCCGACTGGGGATATGCCCGCAACCAAGGTACATGCCCTTGACCTGAATCCAACCCGGGACCCTTCAGTCCCCAAGCTGAAGCTCTATCCATTGAGCCAAACCGGTCTTGGCTTGCCTTCACATTCTTGACGGAAAACGTCGGTATTGCCTTTAGTATAGTTTTTGGGTCTTTGTACTGGAGCTTCTCTCTTGACTTATCCAAATAATTTTAATATACAATGTGATTAATATATTATACCATACAATTAATAGTATTTTTAATGTGCAGTGTTATTAATGGTGATATGTTATATATGTATTATAGAATAATAATTATTATTTTCTTAAATATTTTCATTGATTTTCAGGAGAGTGAAACACCAATGTGAGATCGAATCATCCATCCACCCTCTCCCCCTCACACACACACACTGGGGATAAAGCTGGCAACCTGGGCATGTGTCCTGACCAGGAATCAGGTGACCTTTCAGTGCACAGGACAACGCCCAAGCAGCTGAGCCACATTGCCAGGGCTCCATGATTATTTTTAAAGGCATGTTTTCCTTTGCTTCAGTTCTATCGCTTTAATGCCCAAAGGCCATATTCTCCACAAACAGTCCTCAAGGGCTCTATGGCAGCTTCCCTCAACCATGAGACTCTTTCCTCTAATCCATTCCTACTCTGTGAGCCTTGGATTCTGGGCTGCTTTGTGTATGAGGCCTACTCAAGGTCAGCCTCCTCCAGATGGGGATTTGCAGGGATAAATAAAACTCAGTGAAACTGAACACAATATAAAATGGCTCTTGAGATCTCAAGGAGCCAATGGATAACTTTAGGGAAAGTATGACATAACCCAATGACATTTGAACTATCAAGGGAAAGAAACACAAGGGGAAATGAAACTCCTGGAGATAACAAATACGATATCCAAAATGAAAAATATACTGGATTGGATTAAGAGCAGGTTACGCACTGCAAAAGAAGAGATAGTGAAGCCAAAGACATACAAATAGAAACTGCTCAAAATGAAATAGGGAGAAAAAAGATGGAGAATGAGCAGTGAATTATGAAAAAATATAAGGCAGTCTAACTATGTGTAAATTAGAATTCTAGAAGGAAAAGAGAGAGAGGGAGTAGAAAAATATTTGAAGAAATAATGGCTAAATATTTTCAAAATTTGAAGAAAACTATAAATCCACAGATTCAAGAAGCTCAATGAAATTCAAATAAAAGATAGTGTGATTATAAGGTACCTTGATGAAGAAAACCACATCAAGGTACTTTATAATCACACTGCTACAAACCAGTAATAAAGGAAAAATTTAAAAACAGAGGAACAAAATAATATACAGGGTGGGCAAAAGTAAGTTTATAGTTGAAATACAAACAAATAATATAATAATAAATAATAATACAAGAATAAACATTCATGTACTCACAATTATAGACCTACTTTTGTCCACCCTGTAGTATTAGGAAACAAAGATAATTCTCATAGAAAAAAAGTAAGCTAGAAGACATTGGAACAACATCTTTAAAATATTCAAAGAAAGAAACCCATCAGCCCAGAAATGTATAACCATCAAAAATATTTTTTATGAATGAAGGTGAACTGATAGTGGATAAGATGGAGTAAACACAGTTCTCCCTATACTTGCCAAGTACAGCTAAAACCCTTCAATTCTCCTATATAACAAAGAGGTAATATGCCAATTGACCCTCATGCCCTTGTGTCACAAGATGGCCACCCCCACATTGTCACAAATGGCCTGCAGGAGAGGGCAGTTGAGGGTGACCAGGCCTGCAGGGGAGGGCAGTCAGGGGTGATCGGGCTGGCAGAGGAGCAGTTAGGTGTCAATAAGGCTGGCAGGGGAGTGGTTAGGGGAATATCAGGCTGGCAGGCAAAGTTGTTAGGATTCAGCAGTCCAGGATAGTGAGAGGGTAATTTTGGTAAAAGACACAAATCTGAAAATTCAATAAGTAGAGAAAATGCCAAGCAGAATAAACACAAAGAAATCCAGTCTAAGAATGATAATCAAATTACTGAGTTTGCTGAAGAAGGAGCGCATGATGCCAAAGTGGTAAGGGATTATAAATTTAGTTATCTGGATACTAGATGGGTTGAGCCCCCAAATGGTTTCAGCACCCAAAGATGGGGAGTTAGAAGTTTTTAAAGGACTGAGGGGTCCCAGATAGGAGTGTGCAGGCTGGGCTGAGGGACACCCTCCACTCCCCCAGTGCATGAATTTCGTGCATTGGACCTCTAGTATCATATATAAAACAAGTATAAGAAGACTCTGAAAGCTGGACAAAGGTAGTCCAGGTAGCAACCTTAAGACCCAAGGGAAAACACAGTGGTGAGTTGCCTAGGCTTTCTTTTCCCTGGCTTGGGTTCTGGAGAAGCTGGCAACCCAGTATGTCAATTGGTGTAGATTTTTTAAAAGCCCCAAGAAAAGCCTGGTCTCTCCAGCCAAGGGACCAATAAAAAAACAGCCTGGCATGACTGAAAACTTAAACACACACACCACTCCACTCCTGTCAAACACTACAGAAAAAACTAGTCCCACCTCATCCCCATCAGCAAAGGCTGCATGGGGAACTTAGATTTCCACCCTTACCTATGAAGTGTCAGCTCTGTCCCTGCAGGGGTGCTGCCAGGAGAGGCTGTGTGCAGAGCTGGGACTGTCATTTATGCCTTGTATTGTTAAGCCTTCCCCCATGCAATGTCAGTGGCAACCATGTGGAAGCAATAGAGTGCCTCTCCCCTCCAGACAAAGTGTTGTCAGTGGTGCTGGCCTAAGGGGAAGCCTGAAATTCCACTCCTGCCCAGCAGTAACAAGAAGTCCCCCTCTGTGGAGCTATCAATAAAGGCTGAACTTCCAACCCCACCAAACAATAAATAATGAGGTGGTGAACTTCATTCTCTCACCAGAGTGGTATTAGAGAAGGTCTGTAAAACATAAGATTTAAATAAAAATCCGCAGTACAATACCTACTCAAAGTCTCCCCAATTTTGGTAAAAGACACAAATCTGAAAATTCAATAAGTAGAGAAAATGCCAAGCAGAATAAACACAAAGAAATCCAGTCTAAGAATGATAATCAAATTACTGAGTTTGCTGAAGAAGGAGCGCATGATGCCAAAGTGGGATTATAAATTTAGTTATCTGGATACTAGATGGGTTGAGCCCCCAAATGGTTTCAGCACCCAAAGATGGGGAGTTAGAAGTTTTTAAAGGACTGTAGGCAGGCTTTTTCTGGGCAGAGAATTCTCTGTGCAGGACTGGATCCTGGGAAACTCCGGAGGGGAGAGATAAAGGTCTTAGCAAGTAGAATATGGTCTTGGCAAGTGGGAAGTGGCATAAGAGAAAGGGAATGTCTGTTGTGAAGAGGCCTAAAGGTCAGTTGCCAGGGGAGGGGTATCGATTCAATTATTTGATCAAACCTAACATTCCAGCCCCCACCTTTATTTATTTATTTATTTATTTTTATAGAATAGAAACTAAGGTTACTTCCTGCTGATGGGGGACAGGCATCGAGAAGCTTAAGGAATGGACTTTGATTGTAGTAGAATGGAACACTGTATAGGTTCCTCCTGGATGGAGCAAGGGGTTGCAGCAGCATGATTTCCCTGAGAGAGTGGTTGGTGAAGGCTGAAAGTGGTCTTGAAGGAAAGATGAAAAATGGCACAGAATACACGGGCCAAAAACAAATATGAGGAATAGGGATGTTAATGATAATAAGAAGAGAAGTAGCCAGGTATATCAATTTATATTCTTTAGCCAGTAGTCCCATGAATTTGATTGACATTCTCTGATCTTTGAAGCCCTTTCTGTTAGTTTTTAGGCAGCATCTCTGGCTAGGCCAGGCTGATGGATATAAAAACAATATTCTTCCTCAAGAAAGAGGCATAGGCCCCCTTTCTTTGCTGCTAGGAAGTCTAGTCCTCTCTGATTTTGGAGGGTGACAGCTGTTAGTGAGTCTATCTGATCCTGAACTTGAACTAAAATTTTGGCAATGTCATCTAGGCTTTCTTGTAGGTCCTGAGACAGGATTTCAAAATATGATAGAGCAGCGGCTAGGTCCCCTTTGCCCTTCCCAACCCGTGTTGTGATACCAAGGGTTATTAGGATTATCTGGACTGCCCTTTTGTGTCGTACCAGATGGGTTACAGGAACAGGTAAAGAATGGTTATTGGGGGCTATTTCTACATTGGGTCAAAGATGAAAGTATAGGTTTCTGTCTAGTTGGTGGGGCAGATATGTGTTTTCCCCACAGAGGAAGAAAAATCCATGATCATGGAGACAAGCTGAAAGGTATAGGGAGAAGAGGTGGACTAAAGGGTATGAGTTTCCTTTTCTCAGTTCTGCGTTCCAAACTGAGAGTTAGTTGCCATAGTGCTACTGTTAAGGGGTGACAGTTGAGTGGTTGAGATTCTATTACAGTGAAAGTAGGTTGGAATGACAGAATGGGGTATTATTTAAGGGGGAAGCAAAAGGAAATGAAAGGTTCAGTTAATTTGCTAGAAAGGCTGACAGAACTCAGAGAGGCATTTAACTTATTACATCACTATCTATAATAATAACAGCACAATATGCTAATTAGACCTAACATCCTTCCAGATTAAGCCAGGGCTGCAAGGCAAGCCCGGTCCCAGGTGCCAGAGGGAAGCTGGTACCAGCAGCAGGGGGAAGAAAAGCCTACTCTTTGTCAAATTTTTGTGCATAGGGCTTCTAGTACTATATAATAAAGAGATAATACGCAAATTGACCCTCATGCCCTCGCACAAGATGGCTGACCCCACGTGGTCAGAGATGGCTGCCACATGATGGCTGGCAGGGGGGGTAGTTGTGGGTGATCAGACTAGCAGGGGAGGGAAGTTAGGGGTTACCAGGTCAGCAGGGGAGCAGTTAGGCATCAATCAGGCTGGAAGGAGAGTGGTTAGGGGGTGATAAGGCTGGCAGGCAGGCAAGAGGTTGTCAGCCGGCAGTCCTAGATTGTGAGAGGGATGTCCCAGATTGGAGAGGGTGCAGGCTGGGCTGAGGGACACCTCCCTGCCGTGCACGAATTTCGTACACCAGCCTCTAGTTTTATTATAAAAGGATATAACTGAGGAATAGCCAGATGGAAGAAATGCTTAGGACAAGTGTGGGGAAAGTGCATGGAGCTTCCATGTTCACTCCAAGCACATTACTTTCCTCAAATTTCCACGTTTACCAATCTGGAAGTTCTGTGAATTCCATCTGGCCTTTTGGTTAATTAAATCATTGATCATCAGTTACTAATTCAACCTTGAGCCCTTCTCCCCTCTCAAGAGGGCAGAGTGTTGGAGTGAAAGTTCTGATCCTCTAATCACATGGTTGGCTCTCCTGGTAACCAGCTCCTACTCTTCAGTGGGGGCTTGGTTATCTAAACTTCTGGCCTTACTTATCAGTAAATCATATTACTTCTATATCTTTGAGATTATGAAAAATTTAACATTTTGGATTTAATTGCATTGAATTGTACTCATGACAAACTTTTTGATATCAACAATTGTGCTGCTCTTTAGTTAGCTTATACACAGTACATAATTTCCCAAGGACCCTGTAGGGAGAGGTTATAGGGTTAAGCCTCAGACTGACCTGTTGGCAAAGCCACAAACAAATACCAGCTTAGAGGGCACAGCCCTCTTAGCATAATTAAGCTTAACCATATGAGGACACCTAGTTCCTTCCTAGGTAGCTGTGGGAGGTGCAGCAAGTGCTGCCAAAACAAGTGAAACTCACAGGAATATTGTAACTATGGTGACCACGACCTTGTTTATCTCTGACTATAAAATAAAGGCTCAGCTTGCTGTCTGTATCTTTTCTCTATGGTCTCAGCCAGGCACAGGAAGATCCACCTAGACCCAGGCTATTCTCTTTGTTGTTTTTTTTTCTAAATCCTTCACCGCCCTCCCTCAGGCTTGCCCAACCCTTGGCTGTGCTGGCCTAGGGTTAACTTTAAGACCTAAAACTGATAATAAAATGAGGTAATTGTATTTTGTAGTCTGAGCACATATACCACATGACATTGTGGCTGATCTGCTGACTGACCTCACCAGCACAAAACAGAAGCTGGACCTGCAATTGCTTTGCTGTCCTCTGAATTTTTCTTTTAGAAGCTGCTGCAGGTGCGCCCGCAGGGCCTGCTCACACTGGCTCAGGCCACCGTCCTGTCACAGCTCGCACACACACGGGGCAGGCTCAGTGTGCTGCCCCAGTCACGTGGCCTTGGAAGGCCTGGGCTCCACTCCTGGTCAGTGGGCCGTCCAGTCCGATCAGCATCTGCCCACGTGTGAAGGGGCCTCCACTGGGCCTGGCTTCGGGGACCTCGGTAGGTCAAACACAGCGCAGCCTTCCTCCCATGTGTGGTCCAGGTAGCAGCGGTCTGGTCTTTAGGTAGCTCTTCTGCGAGTACCCTTTCGTGCATATGTCACAGCCCAGCTCCTCCCAACCCACTCGAACCTTGGGCTGCAGCGGGCCGCTTGGGCATTGCCCCTGGCTAGGGCTTTCGATGGTTTCTTTTGGTTCACATGCATGGATATTTAAGTTAAGTATGGACCTACCAATAAAATAGCTTGGTCAAAGTGACTGCATATGTTCAAATAAAATACATGTCACCAAAAAGTTTCCCAGAGATATTTGATCACTATACAATTCATCCACCAGTTTAAGAGAGTTCTAATTACCTCTCTTCTTGACTTGATGGCCACAGTAGAAACATGACAGTCATAGTTATTTCCTCTATGAAATACTGGGACTTATTTAAAAGTAAAGTGAGATTACTTTCTGATTTCAGCCATTCTGCTTCATTGGTGGTGGTATTTTATCTTTGATATTTTAATTATTAAAAGATCTGAACACATTGTTATATGTGTTTGTTAAAAGATTTTATATACTGTTTTTAAGGTTGGTACGTTTTATTTTGCATTTTCCTACTGTGCAGTTAATCTTTCTAAATGATTTTGAGAAATTTAAGGAAATCTTTTTTTTTTCTTTTCTTGCTTATCTCTACCCCAGGGGAAGGGGAACCAGGCCTTGGAGGTCAGGGGTAGCGATGACATGGAGTTTTCCCCTGACACCCTTACATCTCTGCATTTTTTACTCTGTGTATCTGAAAATATTTTTGTCCAGTTGTAAGCAGTTGTTTTGAACTTGCTGTATTATGGGCCTCCCAGTAAACTTATATTCGAATAGGGTGTAAAGACAACATGCTCTGTGACAAGTGCAGTGCCAGGGGTGAGGAGTCAGGAGGAGGGTTGCTTGGGGGAAGAAAGAAACTGAAGCAAGAGACTGAGAGGAAGTCAAACTTGCTAAGAAAAGTTTGCTATGCTGGGGGATTTGACAGAAGACCAGGGCTTAATAAGGATACGTCAGGCTCAAAGACCAGTGTGCGCAAATGTCCTGTGGTAAGAGCAACTGAGAGCTGGAGCCATAGATGTTCTCTGCTCTAGGGAGTACACATCTCATGTTAGTTTGGCTCTGAAAATCCTGTATTATCAAAAATGACCCCAGACTCCCAGCCAGAGGGGCTCATGGGGCTTGGGAGGGGCGAATCCACCAGCAGCTTCCCCACCCACTCTCAGGTCAGGGCACTTTCCCGTGATGGAGACAGGTGGGACAGGACTCCATAGATGAGGGCTGGGTTGCCCAGAGGCCAGGATACCCAAGCAAACCTGGAGGGACAGCAGAGGAAAGGTTGGTAGAAGAAGCATCTCCCATGTGACACCCCGGGAGTCACTTTCCGTCAGACAATGACACTCTTTATGTCCCCCAAGTCCCTCATTCCCCATTACGAGCAACCAAAAGTTCTGCAAAGTACTACGAGGCCAAACAGGGCCGAACTGACAGGAAGTGATCTGCTGCCACTTGACCCCACTAAGTGTTAACACTGAGACCAGCAGAAGCATGTGGGCATGGACATCACTGCCCTGTCTGTAGTATGTGGAATGGGGAGGCTGAGATGCATGGGAACAGAGGGGACCCTCAGGGAAGGTGGAAAGGTCAGGAACCAGCCGGGTGGGGTACAAGCCTCCACCACCTACCCGGTGAGGCTGGGCGAGCATAAAACAATAAATTCTTGACTATTTTTCAGTTAAATGTGAAAATATATTCTCCCACTAAAAAGTTATTTATTTTTGGGGGAAATAGCTTTGTTTGATTGATTCACTTATCCATGCCTTCATTGGTTGATTGTAGTAAGTGCCCTGATGGGGATCAAATCTGTAACCTTGGTGAACTACCCAGCTGGAACAAAAACAAAGTTTCTTAATGGATAATATTTGGATACTTAGATAAGTCTTAAGAAAGAAAAAAAGACTCACAACATATTTGTATTTTGTAGACTTTTTATCTCTTATTTTTATGTTATCAAAGAAGTCTAATTTTGGGTCATGTTAATGTATCTGTTTACTTAATTTTGCTGATATTTGAAAATAACCTGAAACTTACAGAAAAGATGTATTAGGATATCCATGTTCTTTAGCAAGATTTACTTAGTTAATATTTTATTGTTTTAGCATTTCTTCTCTATACATATATTTTTCCCCCAATAATTTGAGAGAAAATTGCATACATTATACTTTTTTTTACCCCTAAATACTTCAGTGTGCATTTCTCAATAATAAGGATATTTTACACTAGAGGCCCAATGCATGAAATTCATGCACGAGGTGGGGGATTGGGGGGAGAGGAGGGGAGTAGTGTCCCTCAGCCTGGCCTGCACCCTCTCCAATCTGGGATCCCTCGGACATCCCTCTCGCAATCCAGGACCACTGGCTCCTAACCACTTACCTGCCTGCCTAACGCCCCCAACTGCCCTCCCCTGCCAGTCTGGTTGACCCCAACAGCCTTCCTCTGCTGGCCTGATCACCCCTAACCCTCTGCCAGCCTGATCTCGCCCCTAACTGCCTCTGCCTTGGCCCCCACCACCATGGCTTTGTCCAGAAGGAAGTTGGATGTCCAGAAGATGGCTGGTTGACCCAGTTAATTATTGTAGCATATTATCCTTTTACATTACATAATTATGGCACAGTTATAAACTTCAATAAATGTAACATCAATGCATTTGTCCACTCTACTGCTTGTACTGAAGTTTTGAAAAACTGAATGAAGTTACCTTTATAGTATTTTCCTTTATAGTTCTCATGTCTCTTTTAATGTGGAATAGGTATTGTCTTTGTCTTTTATGACATTAACCTTTTTAAAGAATACTGGCCTTTTGTTTTTAATAGTCCTCATTTTGAGGTTTGTTGAATGTTTCCTCATGATGAAGTTCCAGTTATGCATTCCCTAATATCACATAAATTATGTTGTGTCCTCAAAGGATCAAATCTGAGGCGCACAATGGCCATCTACCTCTTGTTCATAATATTAATTTTGATCACGGTGTTTCCCTTATATTATTATACCACTAGAGGCCCAATGCACGAAATTCATGCATGGGGGTGAGGATGAGGGAGGTTTGGAGGGGCGCTCCCTCAGCCCAGCATGCATCCTCTCACAATCTGGAACCCCTTGGGGGATGTTGGGCCTAAACGCAGCCAGACATCCCTCTCACAATCCGGGATGCTGCATACACCAGTGACCATACTTTTCATACAGGTGAAAGGCATCTTGCTGCTGTATGGGCAGCTATATTCTTTTGCCCTGATTATATAAAGAAGCACATAACATGAACCTTCTGAGGCAGTAGGACCATTTTCTCCATCTTATGGGTGGAAAATTTGAAGCAGAGAGAAGTTAAGTAATTAGCTTTGTCACACAGTTATAAGTGTCAGAATCAGGGCTGACCACAAAATGTGCAAGCCCAGAGTCCATGCCCGTCATCACTGCATCATTCTGTGTTTTGGGTGTTAAGAGTAGCCTTGCCTGGTTTTAATTTTTAAATCTAACAGACTGTTCCCAATATATAGAATAGTGTCCCTAGGCCTGGCTGGCGACCAGGGGCATCTGTGGGGCAACCAGTGGGCAGAGCTATCAGGGGACCTCTGCTGGCACCCACCTTGGCTGGCAGCCTGGCACTGCCCACTGGCCAGTCCTGCCCCTTGATCACCGCTGGTTGCCTCCTCATGATGGTCAGTGTGCATCATAGCGACTGGTTCTGATTGTTCTGCTGTTTGGTTGACTTGCATATTAGGGTTTTATTATATAGGTGTACAGTACTTTATGGTGTACAGAACAATATTCCAACCAACTGAGCCACATTAATCAAGGCTATTATACAATAATTTAAAAATTACTACATATTATTTTTTCCTTGAAATTGCTAATTATAACAAGCAATCTATGGAGAAGATACCTCAGTACTATGCAAATATCCCATTCCTCATCAAAACTCCCTAGATTTATATCCATTGATGATTTTTATAAGAATATTTGTGATGGCTGCAAAACAGTGATTTTTCAGCATCATTTTAACCAGTTTGCATCTGTCATTCTGCTGTAAGCAAGGGCCCTTTGATCTCCCTTGTTTATTTACTTCTAATTATCAATGTAAACTCATGCACTACTCCCCACCATTGGTTTAATAATTCATTACTGCCTTAACTGTTTTGGTGCTCAAATTATCCCAGACTTGGTTAGTGAAGGCTAGTTCAAACTGACTCCTTTGTCTCTGTGACCTACTGTCATCATTTTTTAGCATTTTCTTATTTTGTGGAACAAGATGTTTCAGGTTCTTATTGCAGCTGCCTTCATTCAGACTTTGAATCAGCCATTTCTCTGAGGAAGCCTGGTTCCTTTTCAGACATGATGATAATGTGTTATGGGTGAACTGGAAGGGGTGAGGTATGAACACTTTATGTACAGTCAAGTCAATTTCAGGGCAGACTGTCTGGTGCTAAGTGAAAGGTTAAAAAATAACAGAGATTACACATGTTGGAAAATATAAAGAACAATTCAATGAAAAACTTTAATTTTTTGAGGACATTATTTGGAACAAGGTAATCATAGATGTCACATTATACATATTAGCACAGGAGAACATCCTTTGCCTTGCCAATTAATACAAGGCAAAGGGTGAGAGACAGTTCATTTGGCTCTGGATCCCAAGACTGCCTAGTTGGGGCGTAAAAAAGAATTAGGTAAGGAAAGGGAGAAAGGAGGGACAAAGAGCTTCTAACTCGAGCCCCACTGTAATATTTCTTTAAAAAGTGAAAACTCATCTGAGAAAATAAAACAATTTTAATAGATAGTTGAATTAGTTAATTGCCAACAATTTGAATGTTTGGTATTCTTATACCACCATTTTTATTCGTTTGGGGGACATTACACTACCTTGTTAAAAGCCAGATGTAATTTAAAATTTACACTAAATCAGTTTACCCTACCTGGCCTAGTTTTAACTGTATGTTTTATATGAAATTAAGTTTTCTCTCCTTTTTCCTCCTATTACCCCTGAATGGTGCCTGTACTCGGCCTGAAGACTCTTTGACAAAAACATCCTTCTTCTACTCTTTAACTTTCTGGCAAATACATGGGCTGTGGTGGGTATTCCCCGATCTATGTCTCCAGAGGTTGTGAAGCCCAGATGAACAATTAGAAATGTAAATTGGTCTCCTGAATAATATGGGTATATTTCATGGTTGGCTTTTCTTTATCTCTTAAAATATGATTAAATTAGAACTTAAAAGCAATTTATAAAAGTTTCTGACAATAAATGTATAAACATCTTTATTGACAGTGGGCCCTTAAGAGCAGTCAAATTTAGTTTATAGGTAACAAAAAATATTTGAAAAGCAGATTGCCAAAGCTTCCAAGATTCATGTCAAGGTACACATACAGTCAGATTGAACACCAGGTATAGAAAGAACAAATACTGAAATGCAAAGGGCCAGAGTTCTCAGTAAAACAGAGCAAATCCTTTAACATCACTTAATCTGTCATTGATTATAAACGTGAGTCTTTGGAACTACCAGATAGCTCCTGGTTAAGTAGTACCCAGAAGGGAAAAAAGCAGATCCCCTCAAGGTCTAAAGGGGAGTGTGTAGGTATAGTACCAGATAGAAGCAAGAGTAGAAAGTGAAGTCCCTTCTCTATCATGAGCTGACAGCAGGATGCTTACAGTTCTTAATCAGCAAACAGAAGGGGTGGGAGACACTCATTCTTAATTTCTACTGATGGATGCTTAGCTACTTGCTATAGACTGAATGTTTGTGTCCCCTCAAAAATTCATATTGAAACCTAATCCCAAAGTGATGGTATTAGTAGATGGGGGCCTTTAAAAGGTAATTAGGTTATTATGGCAGAACTCTCATGAATGGGGCCAGTAGTACCCTTATAAAAGAGGCCCCAGAGGTCCCCCTGCCCTTTCACATCAGACACCGAATCTGCCAGGGAGGGCCTTGAGGGTGGACTTACTAGTTTCCAGAACTGTGATAATTGTTGTACAGTTCAAATGAACTAAGACATCACTTCATTAATGTGTGTGTGTGTGTGTATGCACTTATGGAGGGAGGGATAGAGACTATATAATTTATTGTTCCAGGTCCTTTTCAAGGTCACATAATTCTAAACAGAGATGGCAGAATTAAAACCCAGCTTTGAAAATACTATGTTGATGTTATTTTGTTAGTCAAATTTTGGCCCCCAAATGATGCATTTTTCACTCAAGCATTTGGCATATTGAGAAATAGCAAGTATTTTAGGCTTTTCAGGATATATACTCTCTGCTACAACTACTCAACTTTGCCATTATAGTATAAAATAGCCAAACAAAACATGTAAATGAATGAGTGTGGTCGTATTCAATTAAACATTCACAGAAACAGCAGTATATGAACTCGGTCTATGGATGCAGGCCAGAGTTTGTCAATTCCTGCTTTAGATCAATATTGAATATTAAAGTGATAACAAGGGTTGAGCTCTGTTGCTCATCAGCCATTCTCCTACCCTGACCTCTGAGATCTTGAGCCTTCCCAATCTTCTCAACCCCTTTCAATGTGTTTTTAAAAATTTGTTACAAGAATTTTTTAGCCCCATTTCTTTCATATTGTTTGATTTCCAACATTGCTGGATTTATGTTCAATATATCCTTAATGCTCTCTACTGCCACTATTTAAAATTTTTTTCTTCTCCTATTCTTCTTCAATAATAGAAGTTTACAGAAAGGGAATTATAAGTCACAGGGATAATTTGGAGGGGGCAAAACATGGACTGGCCTGGTGGTACTAAATGTTCATAAAAGAATTTAGAAGGGAAGAAGAAATCTATAACTAATTTCCCTCTACTTTAAAATCTTTTCACACAGTATGCAATAGTACCCCCCACCCCACCCCCCCCAATTTGTATAGTTTTGCTAGATATTTGAGCATTTTTGTGTTCCTTATCCTATTAGTGGTCTTTGGTCACCCATGTACATATGTTAATATATCAATATGTCATGTGATTTCATGCCATTTCCATTTTCTTTAGTATTCTGGAATACATCATATAGAGAGAATAGGGACAAAACATTTGGATAAACATGAAGGGCAGAGAAATGGCCAACTTCTTCATAGAGTAGGGGTGTCGAACTCAATCAGAGAAGGGGCCAAAATCTAAAATCCAGCCTAAATTGCGGGCCGAATGGTTTACTGAACAGTCATAAACTGTCATTGTGATGGAAACGCAGCGGAGTGCAGTGATGACAGCGTGGTGCGGGCCACATTGCAAGGCCTGGTGGGACGGATTTGGCCCGTGGGCCTTGTGTTTGACACATGTGTCATAGAGGGAAGCTGTTTATCCTCAAGTGAGTCATTGTCTGTAAGCTATTTTCCATATCTGAAAGGAAGGTGTCCTTGTGTCTCACAGGTGCTTTAGTTATGTTTCTTGATTGGGATCCTAAACATAACACATTGAACCCATCAACTTTTCAGACCCTCAACACCCCAGTGGCTTTTCCTCAAAGTGACAAAGCATAGTTTATAGAAAGCAGAATGTAAAGAACAAAATATTACTAATACTGTAATTATAGAAAACCAATGATTCATTCAATGAATGCCAAGGACAAGAAAAGAAAGATTTGTTAAAAAACTAGAGTTAAGATTTTGACTCATTCTACTTCAAAGCAACTTCCAAGGAAGTAGGAAATGAAGTTCTACACAGCAGAAAGACCACAATTATCTAAGTCTACAAGCAGAATCCATGTGAATCTAACTTAGAACCAGCTGTAAATAAATTCTATTTACGTTCATAAAATTTGAGAGAAGCCTTTGGGATAGGGAAGGAATACAAAGCATATTTCAACTCTTAACCTTTACTTTTTATAGGTAATATAAAGGAAATGACACTACCTATAAATCTGGATCTCTGTTTTTGGATTCAAAGAGGTACAATTCTGTATCTTCCTGATAATAAGGACATGAACCCTCTGCCTAACCTAACAAATAAGAACTTCCTTACAAAGAGGGAGAACCTGGATTCTACAATGATTATATTGCTATCCATTCCTAAGGATTTCTTGAATATCCATAAAAAGGTATTAGGGAGGGATTAACACTCAAAATATGAAGTCTCTGGCTAGTAGCTTTCATAATTATTAATCAATGGGTGTAAGGAACATTTTGTTTATGGCTGAAAAATATGTACTATGCATGTAAAATCAGATGTATACAAAATTGGTCTATAAGCAGCATTTTAAGTGTCTTCCACTAAACAATCTTGAATTTATCAGTGATAAAACCAACTTACATTTCTTCACATTTAATAATTTTTCAGGGTTGCTCTTCTGTATGAATTCTTTGATGTCTGATGAGGGATGAACTGCACTTAAAGCTTTTCCCACATTCATTACATCTATAGGGTTTCTCTCCAGTATGAGTTCTCTGGTGTTGAATAAGAGCCGATGAATGAATAAAGGCTTTTCCACATTCATTACATTTGTATGGTTTATTTCCAATATGAATTCTTTGATGTTTAGCAAAATTTGAACTCCGGCTGAAGGTTTTCCCACATTCGTTACACTCATAGGGTTTCTCTCCAGTATGAATTCTTTGATGCTGAACAAGATGTGTACTCTGACTAAAGGTTTTTCCACATTCACTACATTCATATGGCTTTTCTCCAGTATGAACTCTCTGATGTTTAGTCAGGGATGAGCAATGGCTAAAAGCTTTCCCACATTCCTGACATTTATAGGGTTTCTCTCCAGTATGAGTTCTTTGATGTTTGATGAGTGCTGAGGAATGAATGAAAGCTTTATCACATTCATTACATTCATAAGGCTTCACACCAGTATGGATCAACTGATGCTGTACAAGATGTGTACTTCGATTAAATCCTTTCCCACATTCATTGCATTCATAAGGTCTCTCTCCAATGTGAATTCTCTGATGTATTGCAAGGGATGAGCTTTCTGTAAAGGCTTTCTTGCATTCACTGCACTCAAAGAGAATTCTAGTATGAGTTCTCTGATGTTTAGTTAAATTAGCTCTGTGGCTAAAAGATTTCCCACATTCATCACAGCTATAGGGTTTTTCTCCAGTATGGACTCTCTGGTGTCGAATAAGCACTGAATGGTAAGTAAATAGTTCACCACAATCATTACATTTATGAGGTTTTTTCTCTTTATAGGTTCTCTGTTTTTTCCTTAAGTTTGATTTCTGTTTCAATCTCTTTTCAAGTTTATGGAAGGCATACGATCCTTTTGGAACTCTGTCTTGAGTGAGAAGGACAGACTTCTGACTAAAGTTTTTCCAATATATATCATGCTCATGAGCTCTTTCTTCAGGGAGCGAATTAATGTAGGTGAACATTTCTCTCAAATGTCTCCCCTGATTTCCTTGCTGGTTCTCTAATAAATTTTCACATTCAAAAGTTGTTTTCAAGTTGGTATCATAGACACAATTTTCTGTGAGTCTGTCTATTATTGCAACCTGGCACGATTCTTCTTTGGAAAAATCTTGCACTGAAGTTGAATCTTTGCTCTCAGGTCTACTCTCTGAGTCTGAAAAAAATTGAAAATGCAAATCGCCTTCATTTTCTATGCTCAATGAAAAGGCAGTTCTGTAATAGGTAAGAGTTAATGAAGGCAAAAAGCATGGCTTCAATGAATAAATGGAACTCATGAGATGATTTGCAAAAAGAGGCAAATGGAGGGAGATGAAGAGTATATGCAGAGAAAATGAACAGACCATATCCAGGAGAGTCAATGGGGAAAGATGACTAGAAATAAAGGAGGGATGCAGATGAAGCAATCTATCTCTGGTTCAGCAGGAAATGTGCATACAAAATACTACTGCAGTAATAAAAATCCAGGCAGTTATCACTTTAGTGTTGAGGGCAGTTACAACTTCTAAATCTTTAGTTATCTAATCCTACTTATATCCAAATATGCTTTCAATTTCCAGTTTAATATTCCCTAACAATGCTTTTATAACACATACATGATAAAAAATCTCCTTTGAACTCCCAAAAATATAATGGCAAATATATAAAATTATACATGAAACAAGAATATTCATTACCACACTAATATAGGTAGCAAAACCTTGGTAATAACATATCTTATATCCTAGTATAGAGAACTAATTAAATAAACAATGGAGTACTATGCAACTTTTAAAAAATAAAAAAGATCTCTATATATTGCTATAGTGATCTTCAGAATACAAATGTCTATATATTACACACTCCTTTCTCTACATAAAAGTAGCAAACTGCAAATTAGTGTACATAGTCTGCTACTTTTTCTGTATATAAAGAAGGGGAGATATAAATATATAAACACTAGAGGCCTGGTGCACATTGAAAGGAAATTAATTAGAAGATGGCCAGTGGGACTGGGCGAGACAGGCCGAACACGCCCTGGAGCCAACCTTCCATGGTTCCTCACTGGCTGGCTGCACCTAAGGCAGCGCTGGAGCTCGAAGGGCATCTGTGGAATTGAGTGGGGTCCCTCTGGCAGGTGGGGTCCCTCAGCCAGGCCTGTGAAGATCAGGCCGAAACTGGCAGTCTGACAACCCCCGAGGGGTCCCAGAGCGTGAGAGAGCACTCTGCAAAGTTGCTGTTGCTCGGCAGCTCCTGTGTTGAGCATCTCCCACTTGGTAGCCAGTCGCTTAACTTTTTATACACACATACACACACACACACACACATACACACACACACATTGAATGACAAGATTATGATCTCTGAAAGCATAATAATCTGGCCACTCAGTGTATATCCTATATAACAAAAGGCTAATATGTAAACTGTCCCCTCGACTAGGAGTTCAACCAGCAGGCAGGCTGGCCAACCACCTATGTCCCCTCCCCCTGGCCAGACCCCACCCATGCACAAATTCATGCACACATATTTGGCTATATTTTCCAAAACCAAGGACAGATAGAGATAATTTAGTCTAACATTTCACAAATACATATAAAATTATACCTATGGAAAGTATTAAATAATAACAGGCAAGTTATTGTAATGCTGTGAAAGATTATAAGAAAGGGAATCTAGGGAGATAAAGGGAGAATTCCCTGAGGAAGTAAAACACAGTTAAAATGGAAGTGGGGTTGGGATTCAGGTGAGTGTTTCAGGTAAGATATAAAAGCACTGAACTGAGTGCTTCAAGTAGAGGGAACAACATGTGCAAAAGCCCTGAGGTGAGAGAAACATTCAAGAAAAGCACAGTGGACGAGAGCATGGACTCTGGAGTCAGAATGCACAAATTTAACTCCAGCTCTGCCCTTATTAGCAGTGTGAGATTATTTAACCTCTTTTCTGCAATTATATGTAATATAGGGCAATAATAATACCTAGTTAATCTTTCTTAAGCATTAAATTAAAATATTTATAAAGCATTTAAAACTGTGACACAGCATAAGTACTACATATAAAATGTAAATTGATATAAGGTTAGTATAGGTAGGTAGAAGTAGAGGTCTCAAAGTGTGGTCCATGGACCCCTGAAAGTATGTAAGTTCAAAACTATTTTCAAAATAATACATGTTACCTTTTTCAGTGCCATGATATTTGCACTGATGCTGCAAAAGAAATGGTGGTAAAACTGCCCATGACTTAGCATGAATCAGACAATGGCTCCAAACTTACTGATAGTTATTGTATTCTTCCCATTATGCACTCTTGGTTAAAAAACAAACAAACCAGTTTCACTTAAAAATGTCTGAGTAACTGAAATATTGCTGACATGTACACATAAGGAAATTGGATCTCAAAAGAACTGTTGGCCCAGAAAGAAACTCACTACAGACTGATTCATTTGCCTTTCAGCATAACCATTATTGCTTGTCTCACTTTTGATTCTTATAAGTATATTTCCAGTGGGACATGATCTCACTCATCTAGGGGAAATGGTGAACAACATAGACTGATGAACAAGAACAGACCCTGAGATAAGGAGCCATGGGTCAGACTGTTGGACCTCAAAAGGAGGGTGAGGATAAAAGGAAGAGATCAACCAAAGGACTTAAGTGCATACATATGAGCCTAACCAGTGGTCGAGGACAATAGGGGGTTGGGGGTATGAGTGGGGGGAGTTGGAATGGGGGGTTGAGGACAAATATGTGATAATTTAATCAATCAACAAATTAAAAAAAAAAAGATTCATGATGTTTTCCATTCATTGCTTTGAGTTATCAGCAATGCCTAGATCAGAACAGTCATGTTAATAAACACTGACTTCATAATCATTAAAATTTTGTATACATTGGGGGGTGGGGGGGACATCCCATGTATAAAATAAACGGTAAAACTGCCAAAAAAAAAAAAAAAAAAAAGTCTGAGTAGCCTCTAGCTGGTTTGGCTCAGTGGACCTGTGGACTTATAGGTCCTGGGTTCAATTCCAGTCAGGGCACATGCCTGGATTGTGGGCTCAATCCCCAGGAGGGGGCATGCAAGGGGAAGCTGATTGATGATTCTCTCTCATCACTGATGTTTCTATCTCCCTCTTCCTTCCTTTCTGAAATCAATTAACATATTACTTTTTTATTATTATAGATTTTATTTGTATTACCATGTGATGGGTTTATAATTAGCATTTTAAATGATCTCATAGTTTAAAATCTTTATCAGTTTTAATTTCTAATTCAGTAAGTATTGGTAGATGTAACTTACATAAACATAAGGTCTTTAGGGTCCTCAATAATTTTTGGAGTTAAATTAGGTCCTATGATGCCTAAACGTTTTTAAACTGAGTACAAAAACAGAGGGCGAATAGGTGTAAGATAAGGTTGGAATACAAATCTAATGGTAGCACCTTTTTGCTTAAAATATTTCAATGGCTTCCCATTGTTCTTAAGATAACAACTAAAATCTTGGATGCCTTCAATGTCTTGTTGCTGCTGGCCTCCCTCTGTAGGAGGTAACGAGGCGGCTGATCAGGGGACAGCGCCATCTGGTGCCCCCTGCCTTCCCCATCACACTGCTGCTGCCTTCTGCCCCTCAATCTCCTCCTTCTGCCCACTGGCATGTGCTTTGGCTGGCCTGGTGCTGCCTGCTCACTGGCCCACCCCCTGCTGACTGGTCATTCTGCCTTCTGTCAATTTGCATATTATGCTTTTATTATAATGGGTAAAGCATATAGGCACTGCTAATATAGTCTTAAGCACCAAAAAGTGCCAATTCTTCAGTGTCCTGAGGGGGTTTTATTTCTGAAGACTCCCATCTATTTGACTCACCTGAATAGCTGCTTCTGGGGACTTTTCTCTCAAACATCAATGTTTCTGTTCCGTTCTCCAAATTGTAGTTATCAGGCTTGGAAACTGGAAGCCCTGCTCAAAAGAAAGAAAGAAATGGGACTTACTTGTAGCTATTTGCGATGGGCACAGACATCTATCCTAGAGCACAGTGGTAAACCCCTGATCTACAAAGAGGATGGGAATTACAGGAAGATCTGGAGCAAGGGAAGATGGATCTCCACATGAAGCTTAAAATATCTGCAGGAATCTGGGCCTGGTAAGGAGTTTATATGCACTTGAAAACACAAGTGTTTCTCCTGTCACAAAAGAAGAGAATTTTTCCCTCTTTCCCGAGGAAGTTCCAGAGAGACGCCACAGATCAATCCTTAGCTTGGGAAGAAGCTGAGAAAACAGGGCCTCAGCGGCAGCACACACGTTGTGACCTTGGTAACTAGAATTTGTCTTCTGTTTTTCCTTTCTTCTTTGTTTAGCTACCAGAACCCACTTTCTTAGAGAATTTACTGCATGAGGTTAGGGAGGGGCTAACATAATACTTCCCACATCCCATATCCATACAAATACATAATCAATATATGTACTTGTGCACGTGTGTGTACACACATATGCATACAGGCTCCAAACTGCCCAGAGTAGCCTATTTCCCTGGCTCTAGCAGTTGTTTCATTAACCAACATGTGACTTTATTTGCTGAAACTCCTAGGATAGAAGCACTACCTTTTCCCCCTTAGTTCTCTAATTGGAAGAATAATATCCTAGAGCTATTAAAGGCCATCATTGCCACATGGAGAGATCCTAAGAATAAAGTCAGCAGGGCAAAGCCAAGCCACGATTTAAAAAAGAAAAAGGAAATTCCTGGTTTTATATTTGATTCCCTGAAAAGATCACGATTTTTCCCACATGGGGAAAGGAATCCAATCCCTACACTCTACCTAAAGCCACCTCTCTTCAGTAACATAAGCCTGCACTGTCAGGGGATGGGCTCCAACACTGCTACCGGAGGAAAGTGGCGGAAACCCAGTGCAGCTGGGACAAGTATTGTATTTGCCCCTGGAGGAAAGTAAGGATACATATGAGGCCCAGCATTACGGCTGAAGGAAAACAGAAATATTTACCAAGTCCACACTTAATCCAGGTTCAAAATGCTTGGTAAGAGCAACCCTAGTCAGATAAAAATACCCCATTTTCCCCATCTTCCATCAATATGGTAACAGACTTAACTCTTACATAGAAAGACAGGTGAATAACCCAATTTAACTTCAAAAGCCACATTTTGAAGACAAAGATGAGCAATAACATTTGGGCTTCAGTACAGAAGCAAACATATGATGTAGTATTCATATTCACCTTGATGATATTTCCAAATCATGGTGTGGGGCAATAAAGTACAAGTAAAAAGCAGAAGTCTTACAGCTGCTTAGAAAGTACAGTTTACAAATAGTTCTATCAAAGGACTGTTATTTAAGAAACAACCAATAGAGAAAGTAACTATAGAGGAGCATCAAAATTTATATACAAATACCATCCAATCTTTTTGAGCCCTGAGCTGTACATATAAAAAGTACAACTTTAAGGAGACCACACAGCTGGGAGGATAACATGCTGAGGAGAGACATTAGAAACGACAGATTTCTAGAAAGTGAGGCTGTACTTTATTCCATATCAGTATTGACAAGCTGTTAATGTGGACTTTTAGTTGAAAATTCGTAAGGCCACAAACTTCAAAGAAGAGAAATACCTTAAAAAGTAATTTGCCCTCTCTAGGGGTAAGCCCTGTATCTGAGGGGTAAGGGGAAAAATAAAACAGAACCATCTGAAAAAAATAAAATAAATCAGGCAGGATCAACCATTACTCAATTCCAGAAGATACCCAGGAAAATGTTCTCTTTAATAAATTAGATTAATTTACTTAACTTACAATAAATGTTTTTTGTTTTTTTTTAATCAATGGGGAAAAAAGACTCCCTGCTCCCTAAGTTAGTGTGAATTAGGTTTGTGTTACTTGAATCCAATAAATTCTAATGCAAAACAAGCAGTTCACCAAGATCCTAGTACAGGAAGTGATTGTTTCTGAATCCAACAGGAGTTACACTTTATGACTCCTGAACGGAAAAGCAAAGGCTGTGTAAGCTATTTCACTTTCAATAAAGAATGATGTCCCGTAAGCAGACTGCAGTCACAGTGAGAACCGTCCTTACAAAGCGAGACCAGGTTCCTATAGTTCTCCAGCATCACGTCCCTTCGGGCAGGATCCAACTTCCCCCACTCCTCAGGGGTAAAGTCCATGGCCACGTCCTTGAATGTCGCGGATGCCTAAGACACAAAACATACTTTTGTTCACCATCTTTCACTCGACAGCATCCCTTTCACACCGCAGTTGCCCGTGGCCCTAGAGCAGAGGGACTGAATATTCTAAAGTGACAGTGATATGACAAGTGTTCTAACAGTATTCAGGTTCTGAATACCGTATGTAAAGTCCCTGGTATCAGTTCTGTGCCATGCATGCTCTGCTAGGTTCAATATGAGAACTAAAAGAAATACAACCATGGTTTCTCCACTGAGAGACTATCATTTTTCTGGGGGAATAAAGAGTTAAAAATAAAACATGAACCAATAAGTTGACAATGTAGTTTGGCAAAGTAAACAAAATACAGGCAGAGGAGGAAAAGAAGCCTGTCTGCGTAACTCTTCTTATGAGTCCTCAATCAAAACTTGAAGAATCAGCCTAGCCAATCAGAAGATGAGTTGAAATACAGACCTTGTGAATGGAGAAGTCATGGAATGAAAAGACTGGCAGTGAGCACCAAATCCAATTAAGCATGGAATTCATTTAAAGCAAAAAGTGTTAAATGAAAAATGATGGCAATAGACTGAGTAAGGGTACAGACAGAACTGATGTTTATGTGTAAATACCATAGAATAAGTTTCTATAAGACAAAAAACACACACAAAAAACTGTAAGGAGGGAAACACATATATGTATTATATGCCTTTTTATTTATTTAGTTAAAGAATATGAAGTTTATTTTTATTTTTTAGAGAGGGAGGAAGGGAGAGAAAGAGCAAGAGCACGCGTGAGAGGGAGAGAGGGAGGGAGGGAGGGAAAAAGAGAGAGAGAGAGAGAGAGAGAGAGAGAGAGAGAGAGAACTGATGTGCTACAGACACATTGATCCCTTGCTTCCTATGTGTGCCCTGACTGTCACCTACGTATGTACCCTGACCATGAATTGAACCAGTGACCTCTAGTGCATGGGACTACACTCCAACCAAAGGAGCCATTCCAGCCAAGGCATTACATGCCTTTTAAAATAAAACCATAGAGAATGGGAATAATATTCCAAGGTTATTGAGGTAAATATATATCAAATGCTATAACTGGTTAGAAAACACCTAAACATTCATGAAGCATTTGCAAAAGTAACAAAGTAAATTTAAATAAATTCCAAAACATAAATAGAACAGAGCAATAACTGATAATTGAAAAAAAAATGAGAGCCGAAACTGGTTTGGCTCAGTGGAGAGCATCAGCCTGCGGACTGAAAGGTCCCGGGTTCGATTGCGGTTAAGGGCATGTACCTTGGTTGCGGGCACATCCCAGAAGAGGTGTGCAAGAGGCAGCTGATCGATGACTCTCTCTCATCGATGTTTCTAACTCTCTGTCCCTCTCTCTTCCTTTCTGTAAGAAATCAATAAAATATATTAAAAAAAAAAAAGAAAAGAAAAAAAAAATCAAAATGTCAAAATAATAAAATGCAAAACCAGCCGAAACCGGTTTGGCTCAGTGGACAGAGCGTTGGTCTGCGGACTGAAAGGTCCTGGGTTCGATTCTGGTCAAGGGCATGTACATTGTTTGCGGACACATCCCCAGTAGGGGGTGTGCAGGAGGCAGCTGGTCGATGATTCTCTCTCATCGATGTTTCTAGCTATCTATCCCTCTCCCTTCCTCTTTGTGAAAAATCAATAAAAAAAAAAAAATATATATATATATATATATATATATATATATATATATATATATATGGAGCAAAACCAAAGCCAAAGCAAAACCAAAGCCAAAGCACTAAAACTGTACTCAGAGGTAATTTCATAGCTTTAAACACTTCCATTTCATTAAAAAATAATGTAAATAAATGAACAAAGCATACAGGTCAAGTCAGAGAAAGAACTAAGAGAAATCAAAAGAATTATAGGATGAAAGCAAAAATTAAAGGGGGGAGGGGAGAGAGACAAGAAAAATAGGTTAGCTGGGAGGTCTAAGTAAGATCAGTAGGTTGTAGTACTGTATCAATGCTAGTTTCCCGTATTTGGAAAATAAGAATAAAGTGAAGTAAAGTGTTAACTTTTGGAGAAGATGAATGGAGGGTAAATCCTAACCCTAACCCTAGTATGTAAGAAATCTTTCTACCATTTACATTTCTTTAAGTCTTAAATTATTTCAAAATAGTTTCCAAAGACGAAAATATTCTGAGGCTTAAAAACATACAACAATCATCCTTGGGGGGGAAAAAAGTAAATCACTAAGTAGACAAGACATTTTGAGGAAAAATGACAGATTTTACAGCCTGCATATCCATAGCTAAACTGACACTCAATGAGAATTACTTCCAGACAATTAGAAGAAAAAAATCAGGACACAAGTGCAAACCAATGCACAAAAGGCAGAAAAACACATGAAAGAAACAAGGAAAGCATAGTAAATAGAACTATAAAAACCACATGGCTAGAAAAAATTGAAACATACACAATCATATTAATGCGAATGAGTTAATTCCTCTTTAAAAAAAGTAAATGTTTTTTCTATTGATTTCAGAGGGAAGGGAGAGGGAGAGACAGATGGATACATGGATTGCTGCCTCCTGTTCATTTTCTACCCGGGATCAAGCCCCCAACTCAGGCATGTGTCGTGGCCACTGACCTCCTGGCGCATGAGATAACACTCAACTGAGCCACACTGGCCGGGTGAATTAATTTCCCTTAAAAAAAAGCCAAATCTTGTTTATACAATAACACTCGTAAAAACACCCCAAAGTTGGGGACTGGCAGTGGGAGAAACCAAAGGAAATATTACGTGTCTGAAT